TATGGAGTATTGTTTGTAGGCCAGTGACATAAAATCTAAATTTAATAAATTTTCAATTCAGGCTGTAACACAACAAAATGTGGAAAAAGGGGTGTGAATACTTTCTGAAGGCACGATTTAAAAAAAATGTAAGAAAAGCAGACATTGAATAGGTAGAGAGACGTAGAAATGGAGCGTTATGGTGATAATAGTGAGTTATATAGACAGAGAGACGTAGAAATGGAGCGTTATGGTGATAATAGTGAGTTATATAGGTAGAGAGACGTAGAAATGGAGCGTTATGGTCAATGGCATAAGACAGTTTCTCTGGACCCACCCGCCAGAGAGCCACTCACAAAGTACAGACTACGGACTGTTGTCCATGGTGCTGAAATTGCGGCTGCCTATCGAATCAATGATTTGCTTTAGCTAATGGTTAAATGTTTATCCGGTCATTGTTTTCCCCATGTCAGGTCTACCATGTCACGAAGCTATACAATGTGTCGCAACGCTGCCATTTAGACTCCTGGCTGGCGGCAATAATGTAATTACTTGTTCAGTAATTACAGTTGGAAATTCAAATATTGCGGATTGTAAAATAAATTGTTTGACGCAACAGCACACTGTACTAATCAGCTACCAATATAACTGTCCTGTATAGCCGACCTGAACCCACATGACATGATTCCTCCTTGTGCTCTCTCTCCCAGCGTGGATAGAAAGTTGTTGTGTGTAAAACCAGTCTATTAATGCCAGATAATACAGTCAGTCCACCCGCCAAACTGAGCAATCCGGGGGGGAAGGGCCTTGGTCAGGGAGGTGACTAAGAACCCGATGGTCAGTCTGACAGAGCTCCAGAGTTCCTCTGTGGAGATGGGAGAACCTTCCAGAAGGACAACCATTTTTTTTTTACATTTTAGTCATTTAGCAGACGCTCTTATCCAGAGCGACTTACAGTTAGTGAGTGCTTTTTTTTTTTCATACTGGCCACCCGTGGGAATCGAACCCACAACCCTGGCGTTGAAAGCGCCATGCTCTACCAACTGAGCTACCAATCAGGCCTTTATGGTAGAGTGTCCAGACGGAAGCCACTCCTCAGTAAAAGTCACATGACAGCTCGCTTGGAGTTTGCCAAAAGGCACCTAAAGACTATCAGACCATGAGAAACAAGATTCTCTGGTCTGATGAAACCAAGATTGAACTCTTTGGCCTGAATGCCAAGCATCACGTCTGGAGGAAACCTGGCACCATCCCTACAGTGAAGCATGGTGGTGGCAGCATCATGCTGTGGGGATGTTTTTCAGCTGCAGGGACTGGGAGACTAGTCAGGATCGAGGGAAAGATGAACGGAGCAAAGTACAGAGAGATCATTGATAAAAACCTGCTCCAGAGTGCTCAGGACCTCAGACTGGGGTGAAGGTTCACCTTCCAACAGCACAACGACCCTAAGCACACAGACAAGACAATGCAGGAATGGCTTTGGGACAAGTCTCTGAATGTCCTTGAGTGGCCCAGCCAGAGCCCGGACTTGAACCCGATCGAACGTCTCTGGAGAGACCTGAAAATAGCTGTGCAGCGACGCTCCCCATCCAACCTGACAGAGCTTGAGAGGATCTGCAGAGAAGAATGGGAGAATCTACCCAAATACAGGTGTGCCAAACTTGTAGCGTCATACCCAAGAAGACACGAGGCTGTAATCACTGTCAACGTTGCTTGAACAAAGTGCTGAGTAAAGGGTCTGAATACTTATGTAAATGTAATATTTCAGTTTTTTATTTTTTATAAATTTGTATTATTTTTAAATAAACTGTTTTTGCTTTGTCATTTTGTGGTATTTTGTGTAGATTGATGACTGGGAAAAAAACGATTTAATCAATTTTAGAATAAGGCTGTAACGTAACAAAATGTGGGAAAGTCAAGGGGTCTGAATACTTTCCGAATGCACTGTATAGGCAGAACATGGCTCCTATTGCCATTAAAAGGTTCTACGGGCAGAACATGGCTCCCTCCAGTGCTGCTCGACCACAACAACACTACGCCGGGCTGCACTGTCACAAACGCCCCTGTCACAGCAGCACATCCTCGACATTCCTGGCTTACCCCGCACCACACCAACCCCGCCTAACGCGGTCAATCTTCGGTCATTCCTGGGGGATGAGCATGCAAAAAAATTACATCTAGCACTCCCCTCCTCTCAACCTTCTGCATATTTGGGCCCCCCTCCCAGATGCCCTGCTGCCAGCACCATTGCCCTCCCCGTCGGAAAATAAAGCTCAGAGTTCACCCAGAGTTCACACTTCCAGTATCATAAACTGCACTGTCCTGTATACGTCTCTTAAGCCGATTTGTTTTGTTCTGTAATTTTTTTGCGGGGGGAATTGGGGGACGGAACTAACCCACCAACTATTGCCTCAGTCGACACGTTTTCTAAACTTCTGACCCCGATCGGGCGGGGTCACTGTTCGGTCAGACTGCTCCGTGGGCGGAGATGGCCCGGGATTGGTCTAGTAGTACAACGCTACAACTGAAAATAGCCCCGTGTCATTGGCCATCCCTCAGTCACCCTGGTTACCCCCCCCCCCCCCCCCCCGGCGTGGAAAAGGGTTCATCAAGAGGCCAACCACAGTGGCTCCGCCCTCTTCGGCGACGCGCCACGCCGTACTCCGCCCTCTTCGGCGCCGCGCCACACCGTATACGAGGGCGTCATTAGTTTAGGACCACCTCTGTGGGAGTCGGCTCGACCAGCGTTGTGGGAAATCGCACGGGCCATAGTGACCCCTTCTGGTGCTGTGTGGTACTTGGCGGTACCCAACAAATTCCAAAACTACTCACCTTCAAATTAATGTAAGGATAATGACCAACCCATGACTCCCCCCCCCCCCCCACCAAAAATTTTTTTTTATTACCACAGCACTGGTATTTATTAGAAATTACAAAGGCTGTGTAGTTTCATTAAAAATAGAGCATGCGTAAGGACAATGACTAAGCACACAGTAAGTTCTCTCGAAAATATTATTTCAGATGTCTTCATTATGTTTTTGTGATCATTTTGATCAGGACTTTAAATGGGGAATATTTGATTGCTACATCCATTTCCAGACTTAAATTAAGGATATATAGCAATTAATTCTTGAAGAATATAACTTAAATGACTCATGAGCTTAGGTCAACTATAGTACCTCATCAGAACCCAAAACAGAAGCTTGTTCTACCCCAATATTTGTAAACATTGTAATTGCAAGCAAATACTGCATAGCCTCAAAACATGGTTAAAACTATAAATGTTGATATCATGGATGGTCAGTCCTTTTATCAATAGCTCTGTGAATTAATTTGTGAGTGGTTACATTTCTCCAACTCCATCCATTTACATTTCAGTTATTTAGCAGACACTCTTATCCAGAGCGACTTACAGGAGCCCTCAGCTGTTTACCAGACAAAGTGGCGGGGTGTCAACTATTGTTCGAACTGCAGATAGCCCTTTTAAGTAAACTACTATGAATAAGAGAAAAACACCAACTCTTAAAACATTGCAATGACAAATTACTCTTGAACGTCCTTTTGATAACTATGTATATGTTTTTATACTGTATCAATACACGGCCTAAAATAACTGCTTTAGTTTGAGTTACTTAAAAAAGGTCCACTACCCTAAGACAATATATAGTTAAAATACAGTATGTTTCTTCTTGTGGCAAAGACCACATTAATCCATACAATTAATGACTTCAAGCACATTCAACTGGTAAATAGTGTATGTTGATATTATAGAAAACGAATTTAAAATATTACTTCACAAGCTGAACTAAAACGTCCCTAAACTGCACATCTCATTATTGCATGTGATAAAAAAAAAAAGGTTATCATTCTAAAAAGGAAGTATTTTCAGTTAATACCAGTAGTACATAAGTGGCAAAATAATTAACACCAAAACAAAATAAAAGCATCAATGTGAACAATGTTAAGACAATTGAATGTAGATTTTCATGTAGGTTTAAAATAAAATCATCTGATGTGTACAACTTCATTTCCGTCACCACATTTCAAAAAAGCTGGACCAGATTCCAGAACAAAAAATTACTGGAATTATTTTCCCTCAAAATGGTTTGCTTATTAGTAAAGTTATGGCATGTAGATAAATGGAGAAATGTCTACGGAACAGAGGAATTTGCTTTCTAAATGTATTTTCAGCTGTTTTAGTAGTTAGTCAAGAGCGCTGGTAAAATCTGGCAGTTTATTATCTTTGCAATAGCTCGATTTGAAATTGATTCAGAGTTCATAAACAAATTTAAAAAAAACTTGGTTTTAATCTTTACGAAAGTGAATCTGTTATTTGTAAGAGCCCTGTAATTGTGAACATTGGATTGGAGTTCGAGACAGATGGGAGGTTATGTTCATTGAATTAACATCTTTCAAAAGAAAGACCTCAAAATAACAGTGCCTTTGAATTTCACGACCAATAGTTATTTTTAACTCAAGACATTGTCGTTAACAATCCAAAAGGGCTACTGTCAAAAAAACAAAAAACAAAAAAGATAATTGCATATCATACGTAGAGCATCTAATTTCTGATAGAATAGAAAACGGTAATAACAAGTGCTTAACGTTGCAATGCACATTCAAGTCAAATCTGTAATACAGCACACATTTTGTCCACTTTCCAATGTGGCCTAACGCCTATATATTTAATAAGGCAGTTAAAAGGCAAATTGTTACATAGTACATAAACATTTGTAACTGTTAGTTTCTGTAATTCCATGTTGGCATTTTTAAAATCAACATTATATATTTGTTAACTTCAAATTGTGGCTAAACCGCTTCAGTTTTTTTTTTTTTACAGGAAATAGCTCAAGTTATGTCCCCTTAATCGAGATAAATCTCTTCTCTACCTGGAATGATTCTTTTGAAATGACCGTGGCAATTGAGCATTTATTTGCAAACTTTTGAAATGCCGCAGATAGGACACGTTAGTAATATACCAATTATAACTACACTTTAACACTTTTTTTTTTTTAAAGGACATTTTATTGTAAAATATCATTTTTGGTCAAGACAAACAATATACTGTTGTACATGAACACAGTAGTATTGCAGAGACTAGAATATCAATTAGAGTGAAAACATTTGACATAAAGGTGTTTAACTAAGTAATAATGTACCAGAACATTTTTCAAATAGCTTTCAAATAAATATTTCATCCAAGTAATATATTTATATTATTGCCATTAATAACCACACAAAGAGTAGAACACATTAGGGACCATGACTACTAGCTATGTATGTGTGTTCAATCATATTCAACTAAAAGTATTCAAAGAGCGGGAAAATACCACAAAATAGAAAGATAAAAAGGTGGTTATAACATTTATTTAGCATATTCTTTACAAAATGAGACAATGCCGGAGAAAAAGGCTATGCTCTAAGAAGGGAACACTAATTCATTAACTAAGTGGTTATAGAACAGGTAAGGTGCTTACAAAATAAATACTAAATCTCAATTGCAAAAAGAATATGTAGTGGATTACAATTGAGCCTTATTCATCTTTACAGCCAAGTCGTAAGACCACCAGAACAGTACAACTTATACAAATAGTTAAACATGATTCCATTCTTATAAAGTCATTACAGTCAGTAGTGATCAAGTATTTCCCCTCGCCCTCAATCTGTGGAAATAGTGTGATTTTCAGAAACATGTTCTCTCTCTCTGGCTATTTAGTAGCCAGAGTGCCAGTCTGTCTGTGCCATCAAGCCAACTCCTTGTCACCGTGTACAATTGTCAGGGCAAACATGTTTGGCTTAACAACGACAGCAATGGTGTTAAGAGCAAAAAGATCTGGGACATGGGATAGCTTTAGGCTCTTGTCTTCAGTAACACCACAGTAAACAAAGGATAAGGGCCCCCACCTGTGGTAGAAAAGGGTACTGCATGTCACAATCATATTCAGCCATCAGAACCAGAACAACCGAAAGGCTTGGATACATTTCAGTAAGATGAAAACGCTCTGTTAAAGTGTGGGGGGTGAGGTATTATCAATGTTCTGATCATTTGTCTCTACAAAAACAGCTGATCTGTTCATTTCTTATAAAAATCTTCAGAGTACAACGGCGTGTGAAAGTACCAGATGAATGTACTTCTGGAAATATAGTATCAAAATGGAAGCTAAATACTTTGGAATTAGGTGTAACGTACAGCCACATTCATAAAGGTGTTTGTTACGCACAAAAAAAATTATAACTTCTTGAAGGTGTTTGTGATATAGCTCATAACCTCCTAAATGACTAACACATTTCACATGATTGCACCACTGACTGAAATACAGTCATCTGGTACAGTCATCTGGTACAGTCCCTAAAGTCATGTGGTCCTCTGTAGCTCAGCTGGTAGAGCACGGCGCTTGTAACGCCAAGGTAGTGGGTTCGATCCCCGGGACCACCCATACACAAAAAATGTATGCACGAATGACTGTAAGTCGCTTTGGATAAAAGCGTCTGCTAAATGGCATATTATATTATATTATATATCTGGTACAGTCCCTAAAGTCATCTGGTACAGTCATCTGGTACAGTCATCTGGTACAGTCATCTGGTACAGTCCCTACAGTCATCTGGTACAGTCCCTACAGTCATCTGGTACAGTCCCTACAGTGTGTGTGTGTGCGACCAATGGGAGTCTTCAGAGTTGTGGCGCGCGTCTTCACACTTGTCTTTGAGACTCTCACTGGGCTGAGAGGGAGATGATGCAGGGGAGGGAGATGATGCAGGGGAGGGAGATGATGCAGGGGAGGGAGATGATGCAGGGGAGGGAGATGATGCAGGGGAGGGAGATGATGCAGGGGAGGGAGATGATGCAGGGGAGGGAGATGATGCAGGGGAGGAAGATGATGCAGGGGAGGAAGATGATGCAGGGGAGGAAGACTTGCGTCACACTTGCAGAGAAAGAGAAAACAACATTTGAAATATCCTGCCCAAGCGGAGATATATATATATATATATATATATATTATTTTTTTAAATAGTAAAACAGATGTTTGGATTGACATGTGATTGCTCCTGTAAGTCGCTCTGGATAAGAGCGTCTGCTAAATGACTAAAATGTAACTGTAATTAGTTTAGGGGAACTAAACATGTAAATTGACAAGATCTGACACATGGTCCAACAGCTGAATGGTTTTTCCCTACTCGTTTCCTCACGAATGAATAAATACCCATCAAATAAATGGTGGACCCTCTACAATGCATTTCATATTTTCATTTTGGACCACGCACCAAGTTCTGCGGTTTCAAGAACATTTGTGGTCCTCTGTAGCGCATGGCACTCGAGTTTGATTGACAGGACAAGGGACACTTCACGTCCTTTCGATACAAAGTGATTTCGTAGCAGGTTAGGAGAGCATTTCACTAACCCTAACCCTTTTCCTAACCTTAACCTCAGTTTCCTAACCTGCTAGGTTAGTTATCCTAGCCTGCTGCGTAAGTACTCCAAGCCTGCTACGAAAAAGTCACTTCGGTATCGGAGTGGCGTGAAAAGAGAGAGTTCCCCTACGTAAAATGTCGCTTTGGATAAATGGCATATCATTTGTAAGTTGAGACGTTACCTCGCACACCACTAGTTTCTGCAGAAGGCCCGCTTGTTCATTCCCCACAATCCTCTGAGCTCTCTGCATGTTCCACCACAGCAGGCTCCACCAGGCGCTCATAGGAGAAGAACATCATGATCTGATAGAGAAGGGGCTCAACGTTAAACATTCAAGAAACATTCAACTGATTGTATACTTTTGTGGTTTGGAATTCAGACTAGGGCCTGGATTGACACTGGTGTGTGTGCGTTTGTGTGTGTCCAGCTTATAAAGCTCTCAACGTTTTTGTTTGTGTATTTGTATAGTAGACGGTTTGTATCCGTCACATTTAAATTGAAATGTGTGCTGCGTAAAAATATAGACACAGGACATTTTGTATGCATATCTAATGACTAACAAAAAAAAAAAAAAAACTGGGTCATTTTGGGTAGCAGGTTATATCAATAACTCTCAGGAATTTGTTTGTCTTTTCCTGTCAAAATGTTTATAGTACCGCTCTTTGGCCATTAGGGGGCAACATTGTATTATGTCAGCTTTAACTCGCCAGTTTTACAGGGTTGAATCATTGTATGTGAAGCTAAACCGGGGTCATGTTCATAAGGGAGAAAACGTATTGAACTCTTGAGTAACAACGGGGAGGCACAACCTGAACGTGTCCAATAAGAACGCAGATTTTCTTTGTCCGTTGCAAAACATTTCAAAACGTTGTGCCCTGTTGAACACGGCCCAGGTACCAAACACAGAGTCTCTGGTGCTAACTTAAATGAAGTTTCAACAAGGTGTAGGAGTATGGGTAATGTAGTTGTTGGGTATACCCATCTGTTTATATTGGGGACCTTGTCACTGCCTCCAGCCTCAAGCTTTATGAACGGTCAGGTAGTGGTCCTCTGTAGCTCAGCTGGTAGAGCACGGCGCTTGTAACGCCAAGGTAGTGGGTTCGATCCCCGGGACCACCCATACACAAAAAATGTATGCACGCATGACTGTAAGTCGCTTTGGATAAAAGCGTCTGCTAAATGGCATATTATTATTATTATTCACTCCGGATAACAAAATACGTTTTTGTTTTGAGGTAAGCCAACCAAACCTGTTTGATATATTCTCCTCCACACACACACACAGTCGCTCTGCTCACATGCATGCAAACAGGTACCAGTGACATGCTCAATGCGGAAGTGGTCTGATGAAGCAAATGCTAAGTTACAGGACTGTTTGACTAGCACAGACTGGAACATCATCCCGAATTTATTCGATAACATTGAGGAGTTTACCACATTAGTCACCCTCATCAATAATAAGTGTGACAACGTCTTACCCACAGTGACGTACATACCCCAAACAGAAGCCATGGATTACAGGGAACATCCACACTGAGCTAAAAAGGCTAGAGCTGCTGCTTTCAAGGAGGCAGACACTAATCTAATAAGAAATCGCACTATGCCCTCCGACGAACCATCAAACAGGCAAAGCGTCAATACAGGACTAAGATCAAATCCTACTACGTCGACTCTGACGCTCGTCAAATGTGGCAGGGCTTGCAAACAAATCACGGACTACAAAGGGAAACACAGCTGTGAGTTGCCAAGAGACTCAAGCCTACCAGACGAGCTAAATGCTTGCCTCAGAGAGCATAGAAGGCAACGCTGAACCATGCATGAGAGCACCAGCAGTTACGGATGACTGTGTGATCTCGCTCCCCTTAACCGATGGGAGGAAGAACTTCAAACAGGTCAACATTCACAAGGCCGCAGGGCTGTGAATGATTACCAGGATGCGTACTCCGAGCATACGCTGACCAGCTGGCAAGTGTCTTCACTGACATTTTTAACCTCTCCCTGACTCAGCCTGTAATACCTACACGTTTCAAGCAGACCACAATAGTCCCTGTGCCCAAGAACGTCAAGGTAACCTGTCTAAATTAATATTACCCCATAGCACTCACATCTGTAGCCATGAAATGCTTTGAAGGCAGGTCACGGCTCACATCAACATCATCCCAGACACTATGGACCCACTCCAATTCGCATACCACCCCAACAGAGCCACAGATGACAAATCTACTGCACTCCACACTGCGCTCTCCCACCTGGATAAAAGGAACACCTAATGTGAGAATGCTGTTCATTGACTATAGCGCAGCGTTCAACACCATAGTGCCCTCCGAGCTCATCACTAAGCTCAGGACCCTGGGACAGAACACCTCCCTCTGCAATTGAAATCCTGGACTTTGACGGGCCGCCCCCTGGTGGTGAGGGTAGGCAGCACATCCGCCACACTGACCCTCAACATGGGGGGGCCCCTTAGGGGTGCGTGCATAGTCCCCCTTCTGTACTCTCCCGAGTGGCGCAGTGGTCTAAGGCACTGCATTGCAGTGCTAGCTGTGCCACTAGAGATCCTGGTACGAATCCAGGCTCTGTCATGGGGCGGCGCACAATTGGCCCAGCGTCGTCCAGGGTAGGGGAGGGAATGGCCGGCAGGGATGTAGCTCAGTTGGTAGAGCATGGCATTTGCAACGCCAGGGTTGTGGGTTCAATTCCCACGGGGGGCCAGTATAAAAAATTATGTATGCACTCACTAACTGTAAGTCGCTCTGATAAATGTGTAAATGACTAAACTGTAAATTTAAGGAGGCTGAAATAAAAATCGGGGCATGAACCCTCAGATCCTCAAAAAGTTATACAGCTGCACCATTGAGAGCATCTTGACTGGCTGAATCAACGCATTTTATGGCAAATGCTTGTCATCCGACAGCAAGGCACGACAGATGGTAATGCGTACGGCCCAGTACGTCACCGGGGCTGAGCTCCAGGACCTCTATATCAAGCAGTAAATAAATAAACACTGAAACTGTCTACATGTTGGTCCATGCACATAGTCTATATTATCAGATGTGCTATTAGCAATAAGCATGATCACCTGTAACCCAACTGATGAAGCATAGTGGCTATAAAACGGAAATAGACTGAAGCATGGTTTGTCCATCTGCATTTACCCCATTGGACACCACATCCGGATTGTTACCATTATTAGTTATTTTATGAATATATAATTAATTAAAAATCACTTAAATCTTTATTTTTAATTTTACAAATGATGTTATTGCCCTTTTAAGACAGCATTGCCCACTTAACTGCGTCTATTTTTTTATTTTTATACACAAAACTGCTTTGAAAAAGTATTTTCCCACGAAAAATTGTTATGCATTGAATGCTTGTCAGAATACACATTTCCCTCCTATGGCTCTCGCAACTTGAACGCACCTCGAGAGGAATATTTATCTCACATAGAACAAACGAGCAGGTAAACTATTCTACTACGGGGTTGTCTGACTTGGTTTTAATAACACTACATGGCAGAAATTGTGGCACAAGGCCTATTACCCCATCAGGAGACTGAAAGATTTGGCATGGGTCCTCAGATCCTCAAAAAATTCTACAGCCTGCACCATCGAGAGCATCCTGACTGGTTGCATCACCGCCTGGTATGGCAATGCTTGTCCTCCGACCGCAAGGCACTACAGAGGGTGTGCGTCCGGCCCAGTTACATCAACTGGGGCCAAGCTTCCTGCACCATTCCAGGCCCTCTATACCAGGCGGTGTCAGAGGAAGGCCCTCAAAATTGGTCAAAGACTCCAGCCACCCTAGTCATAGGACTGTTCTCTCTGCTACCGCACGGCAAGCGGTACCGGAGTGCCAAGTCTAGGTCCAAAAGACTTCTCAACAGCTTCTACCCCGAAGCCATAAGACTCCTGAACAGCTAATCATGGCTACCCGGACTATTTGCACTGCCCCCCCACCCCATCCTTTTTACGCTGCTGCTACTCTGTTAATTATTTATGCATAGTCACTTTAACTCTACCCACATGTACATATTACCTCAACTAGCCGGTGCCCCCGCACATTGACTCTGCAACGGTACCCCCCCTGTATATATAGCCTCCCTACTGTTATTTTATTTTACTTTACTTCTGCTCTTTTTTTTCTCAACACTTTTGTTGTTTTATTTTTACTTTTTTTGTTAAAAATAAATGCACTGTTGGTTAAGGGCTGTAAGTAAGCATTTCACTGTGATGTCTGCACCTGTTGTATTCGGCGCATGTGACCAATAAAATTTGATTTGGAAAGTTCCATCCTGAGTGATGAAGTAGAGGCTTTGAATTACTTTACCAGCAGCTACAGTTGTCTGAGTTTAGCGCCGCGGTGGTGCGTATTAGACTATTTACACTGAACAAAAACGCAACCAAATATTTTACTGAGTTAGTACATAAAGGAATCAGTCAATTTAAATAAATTCATTAGGCCCTAAACTATGGATTTCACATGGACTGGGAATACAGATATGTATCTGTTGGTCACAGATAACTGTAAAAAAAAAAAAAGTAGGTGCATGTGAAGGTCCTGGGTTGGCGTGGTTACACGTGGTCTGCGGTTCTGAGGCCGGTTGGACCTACTGCCAAATTTTCGGCGGCTTATGGTAGAGAAATGAACATTAAATTATCCAGCCAGATCTCTGGTGGACATTCCTGCAGTCAGCATGCTAATTGCACAAGCCTCAACTTGAGACATCTGTGGCAGTGTTGTGTGACAAAACCGCACATCTTAAAAAAGTGGCCTTTTGTCCCCTGCACAAGTTGACCTGTGTAATGAGCAGGCTATTTAAAAATCAGCTTCTTGATGTCCACACCTGTCAGGTGGATGGATTATCTTGGCAAAGGAGAAATGCTTCTTAACAGGGATGTAAACAAATTTGCGAGAACTAACCAAATTTGAGAGAAATTAGCTTTTTTGTGTGTACGGAACATTTCTGAATATAAACTACATATCCAAAAGTATGTGGACACCCTTTCAAATTAGTGGATTCGGCTATTTCTGCCACACCCGTTGCTGACAGGCGTATAAAATCGAGCACACAGCCATGCAATCTCCATAGACAAACATTGGCAGTAGAATGGCCTTACTGAAGAGCTCAATGACTTAAAATGTGGCACTGTCATAGGATGCCACCTTTCCAACAAGTCAGTTCGTCAAATTTCTGGCCTGCTAGAGCAGCCACGGTCAACTGTAAGTGCCGTTATTGTAAAGTGGAAACGTCTAGGAGCAACAACGGCTCAGCCGCGAAGAGATAGGCAACACAAGCTCACAGAACGGGATCGCCGAGTGCTAAGCGCGTAAAAATCCTCTGTCCTCAGTTGCAACACTCACTACAGAGTTCCAAACTGCCTCTGGAAGCAACATCACCACAATAACTGTTCGTCAGGAGCTTCATGAAATGGGTTTCCATGGCCGAGCAGCCGCACACAAGCCTACGATCACCATGTGCAATGCCAAGCGTCAGCTGGAGTGGTGTAAAGCTCACCGCCATTGGACTCTAGAGCAGTAGAAACACATTCTCTGGAGTGATGAATCATGCTTCACCATCTGGCAGTCCGACGGACAAATCTGGGTTTGGCAGATGCCAGCAGAACGCTACCAGCCCGATTGCATAGTGCCAACTGTAAAGTTTGGTGAAGGAGGAATAATGGTCTGGGGCTGTTTTTCAAGATTCGGGCTACGCCCCTTAGTTTCAGTGAAGGGAAATCTTAACGCTACAGCATACAATGACATTCTAGACGATTCTGTGCTTCCAACTTAGTGGCAACAGTTTGGGGAAGGCCCTTTCCTGTTTCCGCATGACAATGCCCCTGTGGCAAAAGTGAGGTCCATACAGAAAACGGTTTGTCAAGATTGGTGTGGAAGAACTTGACTGGCCTGCACAGAGCCCTGACCTCAACCCGATCTAACACCTTTGGGATGGATTGGAACGCCTACTGGGAGCCAGGCCTAATCGTCCAACATCAGTGCCCGACCTCACTAACGCTCGAGGCTGAATGGAAGCAAGTTCCCGCAGCAATGTTCCAACATCTAGTGGAAAGCCTTCCCAGAAGAGTGGAGGCTGTTATAGCAGCAAAGAGGGGACCAACTCCATGTTAATGTCCATGATTTTGGAATGAGATGTTCAATGAGCAAGTGTCCACAATAGCTAGGAGACACACACAGAACCAAAATATAAACGCAACAATTTCGAAGACTTTACTAAGTTAGTTGATAAGTAAAAATCAGTTAATTGAAATAAATTCGGCCCTAATCTATGGACTTCATAGATCTGTATCTGTTGGTCAAAGACACCTTTAAAAAAAGGTGGATTAAATAAAAAAAAATCCTCAATCTACACACAATACCCTATAATGACAAAGCAAAAACAGGTTTAGAAATGTTTGTAAATGTTTAAATACCATATTTCAGACCCTTTGCTATGAGACTCGAAATTGAGCTCAGCTGCATCCTGTTTCCATTGATCATCCTTGAGATGTTTCTACAACTTGATTGAGTCCACCCGTGGTAAATTCAATTGATTGGACATTATTTGGAAAGGCAGGCACCGGTCTATATAAGGTCCCACAGTTGACAGTGCATGTCAGAGCAAGAACCAAGCCATGAGGTTGAAGGAATTGTCCATAGATCTCAGAGACAGGAATGTGTCGAGGCACAGATCCGGGGAAGGGTACCAAAACATTTCTGCAGCATTGAAGGTCCCCAAGAACACAGTGGCCTCCATCATTCTTAAATGCAAGAAGTTTGGAACCACCAAGACTCTTCCTAGAGCTGGCCGCCCGGCCAAACTGAGCAATCGGGGGAGAAGGGCCTTGGTCTGGTAGGTTACCAAGAACCCAATGGTCACTGCCAGAGCTCCAGAGTTCCTCTGTGAAGATGGGCAGATTTTCCAGGAGGACAACCATCTCTGCAGCACTCCACCAAATGAGGACTTTATGGTAGTGGCCAGACGGAAGCCACATGGCAGCCCACTTGGAGTTGCCAAAAGGCACCTAAAGGACTCTCAGACCATGAGAAACAAGATTCTCTGGTCTGATGAAACCAATATTGAACTCTTTGGCCTGAATGCGAAGCGTCACGTCGGGAGGAAACCAGGCACCGCTCATCTCCTGGCCAATACCATCCCTACGGTGAAGGATGGTGGTGGCAGCATCATGCTGTGGGGATGTTTTTCAGTGTCAGGGACTGGGAGACTAGTCAGGATCGAGGGAAAGATGAACGGAGCAAAGTACAGAGAGATCATTGATGAAAACCTGCTCCAGAGTGCTCAGGATCTCAGACTGGGTTGAAGGTTCAGCTTCCAACGGGACAACGACCCTAAGCACACAGCCAAGACAATGCAGGAGTGGCTTCGGGACAAGTCTCTGAATGTCCTTGATTGGCCCAGCCAGAGCCCGGACTTGAACCTGATCGAACATCTCTGGAGAGACCTGAAAATAGCTGTGCAGCGACGCTCCCCATCCAACCTGGCAGAGCTTGAGGGGATCTGCAGAGAAGAATGGGAGAAACTCCCCAAATACAGGTGTGCCAAGCTTATAGCGTCACACCCAAGAAGACTCAAGGCTGTAATCGCTGCCAAAGGTGCTTCAACAAAGTACTGAGTAAAGGGTCTGAATTCTTATGTAATAGTTACTTATTTCATACATTTGCTAAAATTTCTAAAAACCAGTTTTATCATCATTATGGGGTATTGTGTGTAGATTGATGAGAAAAAAAAGCATCCATTTTAGGAATAAGGCTGTAACGTAACATGTGGAAAAAGTCAAGGGGTTTGAATACTATCCGAATGCGCTGTATATAGAAGAACATTAGGCTGTCATTTCTAAACCAGCCAACTTATCGTTACTCAATTTGTATTTATTCCTCGTTACGTTTCTCTACGTTGTTGGGAAGGTCCTGTAAGCATTTCAATGTTAGTCTACACCTGTTGTTTACCAAGAAAGTGACAATTAAAATTTGATATGATTTGATTTGCAGCACAAAGTTATAAAGGTATCTTTATTTATATATGGGTTATTCTCAATGAGATCAAATCTATTTTACGAGAGGCGTCCTGTAGCTCAGTTGGTAGAGCATGGCGCTTGCAACACCAGGGTTGTGTGTTCGATTCCCACGGGGGGGGGGGCCAGTATAAAAAAATGTATGCACTCACTAAAACTGTAAGTCGCTCCGGATAAGAGCATCTGCTAAATGACTTAACTGTAAATGTAAAAATGAGAGATGCCACACACAGAGAACTCACAGTGAGCAGAGCCAGTAGAACCATCATCAGCCCCAGCATGACGTAAAGGTTCCCCGTCAGACCCCCCGCCCATAGGGGGCCGAAGATGGTGGCCAGACCCCCAACGGAGCGACGCACCCCTTGGCTGAACCCTGGAGAGAGAGAGAAGGGGGGACAGGCAGACAGTTGCTGACACAAATACCAGAAGGACACATACCTGGGGTCGTGTAAAAAAAAAAAAAAATCTGTCACATACACTGGATAGGTGCAGTGAAATGTGTTGCTTTACAAGGTCAGCCATAGTAGTACGGTACCCCTGGAGTAAATTAGGGTTAAGTGCCTTGCTCAAGGGCAGACAAGATTTTTCACCTCGGATATTCGAAACAGCGACCTTTTGGTCCATAGCAAAACACTTTAAAAAAAGCTTCTAAAACAGAAAAATAAAATGAGCCTAATGAACACAACCCTGATATCTATGGTTCTCGAAGCCTCTAATTATTCTGACGCAGCACAGTGCCTGCAGGTTTGTTCTCTAGCCCCTTACATCACACTGATCAATAGTAATACAACCCAGGACATCTACTCTAAATAACCAAGTTATTAAAGGGTATTCTGAAGTTCAAAAATACAAATAACAAAGTGGACCACCCAGTCAATGTTTTGATAAACTGCTGAGGGATGCGAAATCTACTCCAAATAAGTGAATTACGGATTAAATGAAACCAGGCAGAACGGAAATGGGGGGTGTCAGGGTCACGTTCATTAGGGTACACAATGAAAACCCTTAAGCAACAGAAAATGAAAATACGCTTTTCCTATTGGACAAGTCTAGGTGATCGCTCCCGGTTTCAGTTTGTTTTCTTCCGTTTGGTGCCTAGTGAACAAAAGAGTGGTTAAGAACACTACAGTTAAACTACAGACGTCAATATTCAAAAGGTGTCTTTTAGAGGCTGCTCACCTTGAGTCTTTTCCGAAGTGATTTTGGAGAAGAGAGACACCTGGGCCACAGCTACGAAGGGGAGCCCCAAAACCTGCAGGAACACCCCGATGATGAACTCTGCTAACTGCCAGGGGGGCGTACCTGAGAGAGAGGGAGCGAGGACTAATCCATTTGCTTTTGATTCTATGTGCTGCCTTAATTAGCAATGCAAATATCCCACAACTGTTCTAAAGTTAAACTCAATGTTACATTGCATTAGTCATATCAGTCACATTCAGTGTCTTTAATTTAATAACAGGAATTCAGATTAATCTTTGCCACATTTTACTGAACATTTTTAGTAAAGTAATCTTTCCTTTTTCAAAGTTTCTCATTTGATGTGTGGTAATAGATTCAAAAATGATACCCTTGTATGAGTAGGCTACATTGATCGACCTAGCTAAAAACCAAAATATACAAAATGGCCAGCTGAGTAGAGCGTTTCCGGGCGACCTCACTCACCCTGTGGGTTGGCCAGGAAGATGAGGCACCATACGCAGGAGATGTTGCAGAGGATGAGACCCACGGCCAGCACCACCCTCTCGGCCGTGCGGCGGCTCAGCCAGCGAACAAACAGGAAGCCTGCGATCACCTCCACACTACAGATGCAGTACATGATGCTGTTCTCCAGCTCCCCGAAGTTAAAGTACTGCTGGGTTAATGGGGTCACCATGGTCTACGGTGGCAGGAAATGAAGACGGGTCACGTTGTTGACAAATACTCATAAACACTTTATAATAACTTCCATGAATAAGAACAATGTTTTATTAGTTCTCACACGGACACACAATGTATAAGCATTTATAATGGCATATTCAAGAACGTTACTATTAAAAAAAAAGGTCTAACCAGTCCTTCATAGTAGTCCAGTATTTGCTTTAGCCAACGCCACCAAAACCGAACTTAATGATGATGGCATGATGACACTGAAAGTTGGTTTAGCTAACAGCTACCCCCTCAGTCACCTTTACGCAATATAGAACTAACGTACTATCTGATAGGCTCTTCACAGTGAGAGGGTAAGGGCGTGGAAAGTCGGGAGAGCTCACCTCCAGTGCTGTCTGGTTAAACAGTGTGATGAACTGAGCCGTCAACAGCACAACCACCTCTTCCCACAGATCCCTCAGAGACAGAGACAGAGACAGAGACAGAGACAGAGACAGAGAGACAGAGAGACAGAGAGACAGAGAGAGAGAGAGCATGGTTTTTCAAGTTGGAAACCATGGGATAAGAGCGTCTGCTAAATGACGTAAATGTAAATACACATTTACAAGAACGTATTTTACCAACTTGAGAAAAGCCTCCCATCACCACCCACCTCGGCTCATGCTGAAGCTCTTCACATGGCTAGAGTCACCAGCCTCTCCGGGCGGGGGCGAGGGGGGAGGAGAGAGGGGAGGCAGGTTGACATTGGAGATGGCCGGATCAGCAGTTGACCTAGGAGGTTCAGGGGTCACCACCGAGCCGTAGGACCCCAGGATGTCGTGGCGCGGCCCGATCAGAGGCTTCCCCTCTTCTTCCTCCTCCTCCTCCTCTCCATCCCCCACCTCCCTGTCTCCCTCCCCCACTGGCTCCTCCTGGGGAGGGATGTCCCAGTACATGAAGACCACGGCCAGCTGGAGGAGGGTCCACAGCAAGCACATAAAAAGCTGTGAAAAGGGATAGCCTTGCGTTTAGAGCAGCTGTCCGTTACAAGCTACCAACAGGTTTCTAATCACCGTATTGGGCATTCTGTTTTAACAAAAACACAAAAAGTCTCATTCAAATGAACAAACCGGAGTATTTTTAGCCAGTTAGTCATGAAATGAGGTTGAACTATATGTGTTAAAACCAAGTATAATTACAAATTATACTCACATTTATACCATCTCATGCAATAATTCAATTTGTCTCAGAGATATGGACATAGAACAAAGTCATCCTCTATAGATAAGACAACATACAGTATCTTACTAGACTTGATGTTGCCATATAACTATTTTACTGTGAGAAAGAGTAGGAGAAATGCTTCAGTTGTTAACGTCTTACCCCAGGTGCAGTGTACTTGTTCACCACGAACGGCCCCAACTGGAAGTCACAAAGCCTCAGGAAGAGGTTGAACGCGGGACCTATGTGTGATGATGGACATCATGAGACAGACCCTCACACTAACAGAGACATAGGTGGGCGCGTTCCAGGTTGTCTTTTTCACAGTCCTGCTGCACATGTCAGAATACTGCAATATATTTTCCTGAGACATTAAAAACACCTTCAAGGCAAAAAAGACAACCTTGAACATCTCCATAAACCAGAGCGAACGCCAACACGCTATGAAGCAGAACCGCAATACAGGAAACAACGCTGTTCTGAGGGCAGGCCTGGTTGCGGCGAGAGATGTTTGAGTCGTGTCGGGAACAAGTTTCGCATTTTAGCTAACCCTAACCTCATACCTAATTCCCTTAACCTGCTACAAAAAGTCACTATGTACTCCATCTAGTCAAAACCAGGCCTGCATGCAGAACAGCGTACGTTTCCAATAACGCGATACACCTGCTATCAATGGCACACAGGAAGCAGACAGACAACAGCACTGACCAATCAGTAGGCCAGCCTGTCGGCACGCCATGACCGCTGCGAACACGGTGGAGCGGTCCTCGGGGGCTGTGCTTCGGGTCAGGAAGCCAAAGATGGACGAACCCGCACCTGTACCGATACCTTTGGGAGCAGACCACATACACGTTAGTAACACTACCGTAACATGGACGTTATCATTAAAAACGGATCATGTCGTAACTTTTTTCTAAAAGTCAAATTTTAGAGTGGCCACAAGCGTGTCATTTTTACTCTAAAAGACAGACAATACAAATGTGAATTTCACCCTGCAAACGAGTCTGAAGTTCCACAAATTTTGATTAGGCTATAATCTAAGTCATCTGATAAATACAATTGTCCTTTACAGCTCAAAACTGCATTGTTCTAGTAGTATATGGGTAGTCTCACCTGCCACTAGTCTGCTGGAGAGCAAAAGCCATTTGGAGTAGCCCATGAAATACATGAAGTTACCTGGAGGACCACATGAAATACATGACGTTACCTGGAGGACCACATGAAATACATGACGTTACCTGGAGGACCACATGAAATACATGACGTTACCTGGAGGACCACATGAAATACATGACGTTACATGGAGGACAACATGAAATACATGACGTTACCTGGAGGACAAAGACAAACGTCAGGGAGAGAGAATAGTAGAATGGCCAGGGGCCGTGAGTATCAAGCATCAGAGTAGGAGTGAGTATCAAGCATCAGAGTAGGAGTGCAGAGTAGGAGAGTCTAGGATCAGGTCCCCCCCCTGTCCATGTAATCATATCCATTGTGATCTACATGGCAAAACTGATCCCAAATCAGCACTCCTACTCTGAGCCGCTTGTTACATACGGCCCCAAGCAGTACAGGTAGACCAGGTAGCTAATGGGTGATTCCACGCCAGGAAGGCACAGAATTTTGGGTGTCTTACAGTGCCTTCAGAAAGTACTCATTACCCTTGACTTATTCCACATTTTGTTGTGTTACAGCCTAAATTCAAAATGGATTCAATTGATTCCCCCCCCCCCCCCCCCCTCACCCACCCACACACAACACCACATAATGACAAAGTGAAAACATGTTTTTAGAAGGTAGAGGTCCTGGGTGGCAGGGGCCTCGGCCCCAGTGATGTACTACCTTCTGTAGCGCCTTGCGTTCGGATGCCAAGCAGTTGACATACAAATCTGTGATGCAGCCAGGCAAGATGCTCTCAATGCTGCAGCTGGAGAACTTTTTGAGGATCTGAGAGCCCATGCTGAATCTCTTCAGCCTCCTGAGGTGGGAAAAGGCATTGTCGTGCCTTCTTCACAACCGTGTTGGTGTGTGTGGACCATGTTAATTCTTTAGTGATGTGGACACCGAGGAAATTGAAGCTCTCGACACGCTCCACTACAGCCCCGTCGATGTGGATGGGGGCGTGCTTGGCCCTCCGTTTCCTGTAGTCCACGATCAGCTCCTTGGTCTTGCGGACTTTGAGGGAGAGGTTGTTGTCCTGGCATCACACTGCCAGGTCTGATTACCTCCCTGTAGGCTGTCTCATCGATGATCAGGCCTACCACCGTCGTGTCATCTGCAAACTTAAATGATGTGTTGGAGTTGTGTGCGGCCACGCAGTCGTGGGTGAATAGGAAGTACAGGAGGGGACTAAGCACGCACCCTTGAGGGGCCCCAGGTTGAGGGTCAACGTGGCAGATGTGTTGTTGCCTACCCTTACCACCTGGGGGCAGCCCATCAGGAAGTCCAGGATCCAGTTGCAGAGGGAGGTGTTTAGTCCCAGGGTCCTTAGCTTAGTGATGAGCTTGGAGGGCACTATGATGGTTGAACACTAAGCTGTAGTCAATGAATAGCATTCTCACGTAGGTGTTCCTCTGTCCAGATGGGACAGGGCAGTGCAATAGAGATTGCGTCATCTGTGGATCTGTTGGAGCGGTGTGCGAATTGGAGTGGGTCCAGGGTGTCTGGGATGATGGTGTTGATGTGAGCCAGCCTTTCAAAGCATTTCATGGCTACAGATGTGAGTGCTATGGGGCAATAGTCATTTAGACAGGTTACCTTGGCGTTCTTGGGTACAAGGAATATGGTGCTCTGCTTCAAACATGTAGGTATTACAGACAGACAGGTAGAAGTTGAAAATGTCAGTGAAGACACTTGCCAGCTGGTCAGCGCATGCGCTGAGTACGCGTCCTGGTAATCTGTCTGGCCCTGAAGCCTTATGAATTTTAAAATGTTTAAAGGTCTTACTCACATCAACTATGGAGACTGACTACACCGTCGTCCAGAACAGCTGGTGCCCTCATGCATAGTTCAGTGTTGCTAGCCTAGAAGCGAGAATAGAAGGTTTTTAGCTCGTCTGGTAGGCTCACGTCACTGGACAGCTCACAGCTGGGTTTCCCTTTGTAATCCGTGATAGTTTGCAAGCCCTGCCACATCCAACGAGTGTCAGAGTAGTAGGATTCTATCTTAGTCCTGTATTGACGCTTTTCCTGTTTGATGATTCGTCTGAGGGCGTAGCGGGATTTCTTATAAGCGTCCAGATTAGTGTCCCACTCCTTGAAAGCGGCAGCTCTAGCCTTTAGCTCAGTGCGGATGTTGCCTGTTATCTATAGCTTTTGGTTGGAATATGTACATACGGTCACTGTGGGGAAGATGTCATCGATGCACTTAATGAAGCCGGTGGACTGATGTGGTAAACTCAATGCCATCGGATGAATCCCGGAACATATCCCAGTCTGTGGTAGCCAAACAGTCCTGTAGCTTAGCATCCACTTCATCTGACCACTTCCATATTGAGCGCGTGTCACTGGTAATTCCGGTTTGAGTTTTTGCTTGTAAACAGGAATCAGGAGGAAAGAGTTAGTCAGATTTGCCAATTGGAGGGTGAGTGAGAGCTTTGTACGCATCTCTGTGTAGAGTGTGGAGTAAAGGTGATCTAGAGTTCTCACTTCTAGTTGCACAGGTGACATGCTGGTAGAAGATTAGGTCAAACGGATTTCAGTTTCCCTGCAGTAAAGTCACCAGACACTAAGAGCGCCGCCTCTGGATGAGCATTTTCTTGTTTGCTTATGGCCCTATACAGCTCGTTGAGTGTGGTCTTAGTGCCAGCATCGGTTTGTGGTGGTAAATAGACCGCTATGAAAAATATAGATGAAAACCACTCTTTGTAAATAAATCTAGTACGGTCTACAGCTTATCACGAGGTATTCTAAATCAGTCGAGTAGAACCTCGAGACCTCCTTAACATTAGAGATCCCGCACCAGCTGTTGTTAAGAGACACATGCCTCCTCTGAGCTTCACCGACGCTGCCGATGTATAGAAAAACCAGCTGGATTTATATTTACCATGTCCTTGTTCAGCATCGACTCAGAGAAACATAGGCTATTACAGTTCTTCAGATCACGTTGATAGGATAGTATCGAACAGAGCTCATCCAACTTATTCTTCAGTGATTGCACAGTTCGCCAATAAAACGGAGGGTAGAGGCGATTTATCCACTCTCCGAAGTAGTCTCGTCAGGTATCCATCACGCCGACCTCTATAGCGCCGTCTCCTCCTCCTTCGAGTGTCGGGGATTTGGGCCTGGTCCGAGATAATCAATACGTCTTTCATCTCGGACTCATTGAAGTAGAAGTCCTCGTCCAAATCGAGCTTAGTGATAGCTGTTCTGATGTCCAGAAACTATTTTTCAGTCATAGGAAACAATTGGGGAAACGTTACGTACAAAACAAAAAGATCAGCGCAAAAAAACAATACACAAAATAGCACAATTGGTCAGGAGCCTGTAAAACAGCCACTACTCCCTCAAGCGCCATTCTTAGGTATGTTAGGTATGTTAGCCTCTGGTAGGCCAGGTTGAATTGTCGCCATATTGCTTACACCTATCAAATCCACTCAGATCTACAAAAAGGTCCCTAAGGGGTAGGAGTTGGGGGTTGATTTGGGATTCAGGCTAAGATTTCAGAGAACACCTTACCGACAATCTCAAAGAGGTTTGCAAACAGGATTATCTTCTTGGTGGTGTGCGTCTTGTCGGACAAGTGGCCAAACAGAGGGCCCGAGAGGAGACCAGTCAGGCTGAATGCTGATAGGCCCAGACCCAGGAAGTAAGGCGCTGCCCCCAGAGTCTGCAGGTACCTCCATATCGTGGGTAAGATCACAGCTGGAGAGAGGGGGGCATAGAATCAAATATTTTCTCCCCAACACATTTTAAACAGACATTTAAAATAGATAGTGGGTAATAGGTTGAGATGGAAAAATGCATACGTGTGTGTAGGCCTAGTCCTATTGAAGAGGTCACCGACTCAGGCTTATCCCCAGTGAACTCTGCCAACTGTCCTCACGCCTTTTATTTAGATCAATGGAGATCACACTGTTTTCACTACACAGCTAACCATTGGCTCCTGCAACAGCTCAAGCCTTGAAACAAACGCCAAAAATCATTTTTAGTTTTTATGAGTATGACGGTGCATGATCGTGATTTTCTTTATTCTTGTCTAATGATGCTACCGCAAAGAACATGGCCTTCCTCGGACGGACAATAAAAAGGTGCATTCTATCAACTGTTAAAAACCACACAGAGAGAGGGCATAAAACTAGGCCAGATTGTAAACTTAGTTTGCTCTCAACGCTAAGTAAGCTACATACCAAAACGCCCCCATAGACATAGAAAAGCACAATACTGTCCAAACAACTCCTGTGACTATAGCGGTTGCCATAAAATATGTCTGGGAGCAAGGCTAACTACGGTCATTTTTACAAAATGCAGGTCATCGATGACAGAAAACATAAAGTATGTCTGGGAGCAAGGTTAACTACGGTCATTTTTACAAAACGCAGGTCATCGATGACAGAAAACACGTGGCCTGACAGACTTGCACTTGAGGTGTGTGTGTGTGTGTTAACTTCTGAAATCATGAGCAATGAAGGTAAAGCTTGGCTGAATCTGAGCGCAAAACAAGTGACCAGGGCCAACAACAGCCAATGGTGTCCATAGCGCTTAGATTATCTGACGTCGTGAGTCCGATCCTCTCCTCTGGAGTCCAAGGTTTAAAATGCGTTTGCTTGCTGAAACCGCTCACCCTCTCTGCATGACTCTGGTAGCCTGGACCTATCTCCCAATGGAACTAAGGATTGGGTCTTGGCATGGATTTCCTCGTCAAGTACATTAGTTTAGGAAAATATCCTGCCCTGAGAGCATCCTACTCACAAACTCATGTTTTCATCTTACCTGGCTAAGAATTAATCATTATCATCAGTAGGCCTATCCATGAGGTCCCAAAAGAATGTATGCTTAGAATAGAAATGCTTAATGAATCTCTGTAGGAAGGTTATTTGTCAATCAGTGCAGCAACCGTTGACAAAGACAACACAAAACAAAATGCTGAGGACTAAAAACACTTTAATAGTTCCCATTTGAACATTAGGCAATACAATGATTGTGGAATATGCTGTAAGATCGGCTGAGCTGACATGAAGCCAAGAGCAGAAATGAGTTAATGAGCCTATAGTAGTGGAAAGAGCAGGCAAGAGGCAAGGGAGTCATTTGGGAAATCATTTGGGCCTTATAAACCCCATGTTTCTGTCCTTTAAAATGATTACCCCTAACCTCTGCACCTGGACAACAAACAATGACAGCAGTAAACTGCACCATAAGAAAATAAGTGACATTTTCTGACAGACTGACCGGGTACAGAACAGTCATATCAGTGTGGCACTCAAATGTTAGCTTCAGTTGAACGTGCATTTTTTAAATCTATATTGTAAATGTTTACATAGGCTACAGTAACTACAATACACAAGAAAGCCCACCCAAAAAAATCATATTTACCATATTCGATACCACTTAGAAGAAAGATCAGTCCAATTGTGAAGTATGTCATCTTCTTTTTTCGTTTATAGTCCATTGTACCTGTTATTTCATGTGTCCATTAATATTTTATTTATTTTGTTCTAGTGTTATCATTATTCATCAAGATGTTATTATTGGAAGCAGTTTGCTGAGCAAATTAATCCAGAGGACAGTGCGTCCAATTAAATTCCATCGCAAGGTTCTCTTGTTGAGGCTGTTTTACCTTTACCAAATTCTTAATCATATGTATTTCAGTAACATTAAATATGAATCCGCATCTCTTCAGGGCATTAGCGACTGGAACCCACAGTGTAAACGATGTGATGTCCGTGTTGCACTGTCCCATGCATTATGAAATCTGCGAGACTGCAATGCACTCACCGTCCGAGTACGTAACTCTTGAACTCACTCTTCAATTAATGACTTCAATTTGTCGCTCCCATGTTGTTGGGTTTATGTGCAGTGTAAACTATGCAGCGACTACAGCTAAAGTGTATTTTAAGTAAAACAGATATTACTTTAGGTAGAACGTCTGCCAAACCATGGAAACGCAGATTAGTGACGGCACGACGCAACCGCAACGCTTTTCTCTTCGAGACGAGCTCACTTCCGGTTGTCAGGAAGAGTGGGGGAATAAAAATATTTGATTCGGTCTAATTCAACATATGTAAGATTTCTGTGGGGAAATAATATTAATAATATGCCTGAAAACACTTTGACTGAATGGCTACAATAATTATTAATAATAGTCTAATACAGCGTTTCCCAAACTCGGTCCTTGTCGTTTTGGTTTTTGCCACAGCACTGCACAGCTGATTCAAATAATCAACTACTCATCAGGCTTCATTTGAATCAGCTGTCCAGTGCTAGGGCAAAATCCTAAACGTGCACCCCTTGGGGTCCCCAGGACCGAGTTTGGGAAACGCTGGCCTAATAATAATAGCAATGGCTTAATATAATATAAACTCAGCAAAAAAGTTAGTCTTTGACAAGGAACAATCTGTGGAGCTGGGAGAGAAAATGCAGACATTATCCAGTAATGGGATAAAAACACTGATTCTGTCCGTCCTCCTAAACCAGGTGGTCACGTCATTGACGGTGACCCAGTCCTGTGACTTCCATTACGACTGAAACTGAGAGGGCTATGTTTTCACACACTGCCGCTTTCAGGCGCACATTTTAATTCAATTTCAATCTGCAGAGCATCCACATTTATTTGCTGCCACGCAAGCGAATATCGAACCATGCATGTTGTCGACATGACAGATTTGGGGGAATTCAAGGTATGAACTTGTCCAGGGTGGCAATGTGTACTGGTTTCCATCTTTGTCATTTTATCAGTGACAGTTTAACTGACAAAATGACATTACTTTACAAGTATTCCCACACATAATAGATATACACTGAGTGACCAGGGAATTCCAGGTGAAAGCTATGATCCCTTATTGATGTCACTTTTTAAATCCACTTAATTCAGTGTATATGAATGGGAGATGGGTTAAAGAAGGATTTTTAAGCCTTGAGACATGGATTGTGTATGTGTGCCGTTCAGAGGGGTAAGTCCCTTTGAACAGGGTGGTGCCAGGCGCACCAGTTTGAATGTGTCAACAACTGAAATATTGCTGGGTTTTTTACACTAGTTGATGAGCCCTGCTCTACAGCTTTCTCAATCGTCTTTACTTGTGCCTCATCCTCAAAATGCATTGGAGGACATGGTCAAAGGGGAGGGACCTTGGACCTTCTCCAATGCGTTGAGACAGAGTTGGCGAAAGAGCCACGAGGAAGGACAATTGAGGAAGCGATTGTTACATATAAGAGGCATGGCTGTTCTACACTATTTTCCCCCAACGTTGTATAATAAAAAGGAATGTTGAAACTAGTGCTCAACATGCAGTAAGTGGACACCACAAACTCATACAGAACATTATCAAAAAACATCTTTATTTACATGATTTGCCAGCAGATGGAATTTGCTTACGGTTCTTTGCTTTATGGTGTCTCTCTAGTCCATCTCTTTGGGAGAAACTAACGTCACTAAGAATTTAAAAAACTAAAACATTCTACTGCTTTAAAGTCTCTTTAGAGATGGACATCCCCTCCACATTTTCCATACAAAATCAGAATGCACAGTGGCAGCCTCCAGTTCAGGGGGGTACTGTAGACAGAGGAGCCGCTGTGGCCACACTGGGGGGGGGGGGGGGGTCTAGAAGGCCAGTTTCTTCATAAGCAGGTAGACTCGGGAGTCCACTTCAAAGCCGTGCAGATTGTTCGCGTCACCTTGTAGCCTCATCAGTAGACCTCCGTAAGACACATAGGCAGAGCTGGATGGAGGAAGGAAGGACGGTGCGAAAAACACACACCGTTAAGAATTGTGCTGTGGTCTAAATGAAGGAGCATACATTGGATAAAAGCAGAAGCTGACTAGGAAGTGGAAGTCTCAGAGCTGAATGCACAAGAAAGCTTTTTGAATGAAAGGTATTATTATTTCCTGAATTAAATGAGTTGATTATTTTCCTTTCCCATTCTTACTAAAACTTGTGTTTTGATTGAACATCACTGCCGGATTGTCACTCACAGACGTGTAGCTGCTTCCGTAGAGGTCTCGTCACCCTCAATCTTGTATACTTTGCCATACATCACATAGTCAAACTGATCCGCCCTGACAAGAGAAGCATGGTTCAGACAAAACAATTTCCAGGAAATGAATGTAGTCTCCATCCAACACTGCAGTTTCACAATAATATACCTGGATGGCCGATCATCCTGTGGATTATATTCCCCATCGTCAGGAGTTCCATCTTCATATAGCGTGCTGGCTATTACCAATCTGAACTTGTCACCTAGAGGGGGAATTGGAAATGCATAAAAGAGCCAAAACAGGCTGCTGCAGCAGCAATCAAGTTGACATTTACCTAAAAAAAAAAAGATTTTATGAGAAATGAGATGGACACATTCACACTTCACTTACCAAGGTCAACAGGATAGATCTGAATGTTTACATCCAAGATGAGGTCCATCTTGAAGGACTCACTTTCACAGTGCAGACGAGAAACTGAAGCAAAGACAAACCACAAGAAATGATCGTAGCTACTACATAATGCAGACAGATTTATTTACGAATGTGAAACATGAAGTGCTATACAGCTAGCCTACGGTTAAACTCACCTCTGTCAAATTTCATCCCATCTGGATCGATGTCTTTCACATCAAAGATGTCCTCAAACAATATCCCAGCCATGTCTGTTCTGGTCTAGTGCCCTGGTCAATGAAACACAGAAAACCCTTCCAGCTTACACTTCACTTTGTGCTGGTTAGCTAGTATATTCATAGACGCTAACTACCTTTCGCCTATTGATGAAGGCGTCTTCTTCCCGGGGGACTTTTGTTAAGAGCCCCGACCGTTGCTCTAAACGTTGACACGCGTCGCTTGCGGTACGGGTTTTGGAAACATAAGGAAAGTATTTTTAATATCAGCGATAAATAACTTTCAAAAAACAAAATGTTAAATTACTACACACCTTTATAGGGTTAGTGTTCACACAGCCATATCTCCATTTTACAGCGCTTGTTTAACGAAGACAGAGGTGACCGCCTGTGATAATTATGCTGCGTTCAAAACGTCAGTGATCTTCTGGTCGGAGTTCTAGAAAGAGGCCCGAGTTGGATGACCGTTCAAATCGATTTTTCCCAGTCGGAGCTAGTTTTCTCCAGGTTCCCAGTTACAGTAAGGCACTGAAGTCGGAGATTTCCGAGTTTCCAGTAGTTTTGAACGCGGCATTAGCTATCTAGCGTGATCCGAACACCATTGGTTCGTCAACTGGAGGCACACAGCGTATGGATCTGTGCAAATTTGCTAACGTTACAAGGATACATATATGAAATATTATTTCTCGCTGATATTAAAGTTAAGGGCCATATGTTTCAAAAACAGTTTCGCAAGCGATGATTGACGTTTCTAACAGTGTCGGAATTGTAGTTCACATGGCCAGGCATGGGCAAAGTTAACGGAGAGAAGAGTTTTCGAGAACTAGTAGCTACTGTTAGCTAAATTTAGTCGCAATGCTTCTGTGCACCTGACCACCATTTCTATTATCTTCTACTTTTAACTAGGTAGTTAAGTTACAGTAGCTAGTTTTGTCCACCCATGACGCCAATGTGATAATTGTTTTTATTCTAGCTAGTTACCTTTACAAAATAACTACATGGTTCATTGGACTCAAAGCACCGGTTAGCGTAGCGAGCTAAATTGGCATATTTAGCAAGTTAGCTTGGCGGCAGCAACACTTAATCACTTACCTCGATTAAGTGAATATTACTTTTTTAAAGGTTTTCTTCGAATGTGAAATTGTGATGGATAACCTAAATCAAACATTAATTATTGTAGCAATCTGAACCGTGCCGCGCTGACAAAATGTGCTCGACCTTTGACATTCGAACTCTAGCTATTTACTTCCGACAAAACTCGGAAGTGGGTCTGTGCTTTGCGGAATCCTTGGAACGCCCTACTTCTTCTTCATCTTTAAAGTTTTATGGCAGACTACACCTATTGGTGTATTGCCGCCACCTACTGTACGGGGTATTGAAACAAAACAAAAATAATATAGAAATTCGGGTGCATGGTCACCACCACAATTGCAGCATTTAGGCTCAGCTGGCATATAATACTCCTCCCTTCTACATACACTTGCCACCACAGGAGGTTGGTGGTACCTTAATTGGGGAGGACAGACTCATGGTAATGGCTGGCGCGGAATTTGTGGAATGGTATCAAATACATCAAACCCACGGTTTCCATTTGTTTGATGCCATTCCATTCGCTCCTTTCCAGCCATTATTATGAGCCGTCCTCCACTCAGCAGCCTCCACTACTTGACACATGACCAAACAATTTACATTTATCACACTGCATGGGTTTGGGCACGAAGGCTCTCACAGGGAATCTCATATAACCCAAATACACGTGGGAAGGGAGAGACTCTTCATCAAAAAACAATAGAATGGATGGAGTGAGCTTCCGCATTCCATCTACCATACGGGTCGGTTGTTTTGCACCAACCACTTGATCCATCGGGACACCGTACCCCGTTGAAGTTGACATTTAAAATGGTTAAGATTAGGGTTAGGTAAGAAGGGTAGGGGTTAGAGTAGGGACGTCCCAAAGATTCCGGATAGCACTGATCAGATGGGAAGTAGGCTGACAAAGGATACTTTTTTAAAATATAGTATCGACCTTAACCCAACACATAGCGACCTCGTCAAGGGGTTCGGACCTCTTGGCGTAATGGTTAAGGTGTTGGCTTGACAGTCACTGTACCCGGGTTTTAGTCCCGGTCGGGGCCACCCCCCTGAATTCGCTACAATATCTTTGAACGAATAGTCATTGTTGGGGAATTACTACACCAAATCAACTTCACTCTTGACATCTGTGGGGCTGAAATTGAACCTACACTCAAAAGCTATTAGAACTAAAACCAAAAGATAATTTCTGTGCTGAAACTATTTACTTAGCCAAGTAATTTAAACTTCTTCTCAACCTAAAGATGCAACCTCAAAATGTAAAAAAAAATATATAGTTCACTGATCACCTGGCCAAGACCCACACCAGTGTCTGTGCTGAGAGAACAGACACAGCTGTCCCAGCCTCCTAAACACTTGTACAGTGGGTTAAACATTACATAAAGGGTTGTGATTTCCAGTGGAGGCAGCTGAGGGGAGGATGGCTCATAATAATGTCTGGAATGGCATCAAACACATGGAAACCATGGAAACCATGTGGTGCCACCAACTTCCTGTGGTGATTTCACATACTAGCCTGATTTCACATACTACTATCTGAATTGAATGTTCATGGCCCACCACAGATCACATACGTCAAAACATATAACTTACTTTGGTTATCATTGTTATTTGCCAAATTGTATTTATATAGAGAGCAATAGCAATGGCGTCTTTTTGTAGGCACAAACTCTGCCAAGGCTTGATGGTCAAAGCCTTTGGGGAAATTAATTGAGTTTTTGTAGGGTTTTTGGATAAATGCCAAAAATAAGGTCTGTGGTACACAGGTTTATGAGACTTTATACGTTTTGTTCTAGATAATCTTCATCAGCTAACTTCACTTTTTGTGAATTTTGAAGCATTTATGTGATAAGCACTTAAAGGCTTCATAATTCATAAAGGTCATGTTAACGGATTGATATTATCTCATAGAACAACACCTATATGATCTCCTAAGCCTGTAACTTCAGACCTTATTTTCTGTGTTTATCCCAAAACCATATTCTTTCCCCATTAATTTTCTGTTCAGTGCTATCCGGGATCCTTGGGACATCCATACCCTATACCCTAAACCCTAACCCTAACCCTAACCTCTACCTTTACCCTACCCTAAACCATAACCCTCACCTAACCCTAACTTTAACCATTTTAAACGTCATCTTCAATGGGGTAGGGACGTCCCAATGATTCAGAATAGCATATACCCAGCTGCTTAGGACATTTACGTCATCTGTCTCCACTTTCCAGCCATAGTTTCACAACAGTTTGGTTGCTAGGGGTTTTAGGCGTCTTCCTAGTCTGGTTGCTAGCTAATGTGGTAGCTATCTAGCTTTCTGTCTTGTTTTTAATGCCTAACCTTGCACTTAGTCAACATATAAATAAAGATACATACTAATTAAAGGTTTAATGTTAATTAATATTTCGAAGTAGACTGCGATGTGAAAAAGGTAAGGTTGTGCGTGCTATTTAACTTTAACACATGTTTGGATGATTAGCTATCGTTAACTAGCTAGGTTCGGTAACTGCCGATAAACAACTACAGCTAGCTATAGCTGGGAAGGGAAAGTTATGTCTTGTGTAGCTAGCTTTGACTTGTGCAGTTAGTACCAGTAACTAGCTAGCTATATAGTCACCAGTTCTGAGCTGCCTTATGTAACTTAGCTAGCTAGCTAGCTCGTTAGCTTATAAGCTATGTGTGCCTGCCTGCTGTGTCAATTATGTAAATGTTGAAAACCATCCATACATAGCCTCGATTCCAGACATGGCAATATTGTTGGATTTCACACTCAAATTGTGAAGTCATGAGCAGAGAAACCAGTGCATGCTTTCCGTGTCTTTTAGGCAGTGTTCACAACTTCACATGAGTTCCGGAGAAATAAAGGAGATGGGGGACATCTTGGCCAATGAAGCTGATCTTCTTGGCATGATCAAGGAGGTATGTTAAAGGAAGGCTATATTAACTTTTACACTGGTGGGAATTGGCCTATATGGTTAGAGCTATGAACGTTATTTATAATAAGAGTTTCATGGAGAAAATCAGACCTCTCTCTCAAATGAAAATGGATGGCCCCTCCCTTCAGCAAAATATATTTTACCAAGACACCTATACCCCAAATAATATGTGGATAGCCTATCGTTTAACCTCACTTCTTGGACAAACCAGAGCCTTAGATATGCAGTTTTAGAAACTGTTCTTCGTCCTGTAAGCCATTACATGGCAACGCAGGAATTTTGATAGAATAGAGGGCTGTGGGCCAGAAGGTTGAGGGTTCACAGACCACTGTACACAAGAGTAGGGGTGGACAGATCTCCGTCATAGGAAAAAGCATTGCATGAATCTATCATTGTATTTGCAGGTCAGAGGAAAAAATACAATTTTATAAAAATGTCAAGCAATTTTACATGTTTGCATAGTCTTTTTTAATATCACACTAATGACCAAAATGACAGGCTAAGAATGGACAGAGAGATAGGCCTATGTGTTCATCTTATCATGTTTCTCCAATGCCAAATCAGTGTGTCTTGTTTGCAAATAATGACATTTGAGACATCATTAGGAATCTGAGCATGGTACTTTGAAAAGTTAGGCCTACCTTTCCACCCCAGACAGAGTAGGCCTACCGACGCCGAAAAAATGTACGCTTTAACTGCTGGCTTCTCTTCTTCCGTGGCTTAACCCAACGAGAAAAGGTCACAAGTGTTTCCATAAAAGCTGTCTGGGTTTAAACATCTTCAATTGTGCAGAAAGTGAATACCTAAATCAATTGATAGTGACAGAAATAGATTACTTCCCATGCAAAGTCAATTTATTTGTCTCCTCGGCTATTGAAGGTTGTAGCTCAGCATCTGAATGTCAAAGAAACAAAACAATGATATCCGCATATTCATCGGAGTCACGCCATTCCCGGGTATTTTACAATTTGTTTGTAGCATAAAGCATCGCTGATCAAAGCGCTGTTATAAATCATTTTATATAATCAGATCCATTTTATTTTCTTCTAAATATTCAGCTAACAAGGAAGGGGTAGGCCTGTGCTTTCTGCCGTTTTGTTTAAGAAAAGGTAGGCCTATGACATACCCTCTCATACCCCCTCAATTCCAGTCTTGGTTTTAACTGAACAGCCCTTCACTGACACGGAGGTAGACTATTTAAAGAGTGCATAGTGGTTGGAGGAACTGGCCGACAAATCTATGGATATAGCAGCTTTAGCCTAATGTCTGTCAAACAGGTAGGCCTACCTCTTATTTCTTAAATAAGAATAAATAGGCTCAAACATAAAGCCCTCTTGTTGTTAGAAAATTGTAATTAAAATGAAGACGGTTGCAATGAATTATGCCTACTCGAGTTAGCCTACTTTCAGCACCATGAGGTGTACATTTTTCTGATTGATTGTGCCGCGGCTGCTGCTTCAAGTTTCAGCACCACAGTGTAAGTTACTCGAATCTTGCTTCTTGTGGGGTCAATAACTCTGATAAATGCATCATGGGCAAGAAACACATTGTTTTTATTAAAATCAATTATAGTAGTATCAAGCTATCAAAGTTGACCTCCGGTCCTCCTCCTCATCTTAGCGTCTCTCCTTCTCAAACTGAACAGAATGTAGGCTATAGGCTAGTCGGCACGCAATATATAAATAAGAACAATTCGGAAGAAGAACTTTGACTCTCCTCCTGAACTGCCGCCGTAGGCCTACACAGCACAGCTTTGGTTAGGCAGCACACACAAAAAGGCTTTGATCAGCAAGAGCAGAGCAGGCCAGGGCTCATATCCATTGCAGTGTGTAATGCAGCCTAGTTTTATTTACACCATCCCGGCAGCTATCTTAGAAATATAACTTTGCTCTGTGCTTCTCAGAGCATCCACTTCGTAGCCTATAGGCCAGGGTTCTTCAATTCCGGTTCTGGAGGGCCGAAACACCTCTGTTTTTCATCCTCTCCTTCTAATCAGGGGCTAATTCAGACCTGGGACACCAGGTGAGTGCAATTAACTACCAGGTAGAAATAAAAAACAGAAGTGTTTTGGCCCTCCAGGACCGGAATTGAAGAACCCAGCTATGGGCTATGGATCATTTGATTGAGACCACACTAAATAGCCTATAGGTGCACTTGATATTGCTATCGCCCAGCAGAGCATCAGAGATGAGGGGTGGCATCGGGTACACATCGATGTATCGCCTAATAAGCAACTAATTCTAAAAATTATTTTAAAAAACTGAGAAATACTCACATTTCATCAATTATAAATTATATGACCCTCCCCTGGACTAGATTAAAAAAAGACTAAACCCTCCCCTCCCCTGAAATTGAAAAAGCACGACCCTCCCCCATTGTCCTCCAGGTTCTAATTCTGTACATTTCTATTCTAAATTGAAATGTTTCTGACAGAAAAAACATGAAAAGCATATGCATAACCATGGTAGCAATTGAAAGGGAACAATTTGGAGATTCTGTGAAAAATGATTAGGCCAAAGGTGAGGACAAAACACTTCACCTGACACAAGACTGAATCCAAACACTACACTGGTGATTGTATGTGCATTTTACATTTCCTGTACTTTTCGCCGCATTTGTTGATAACGAAATCTGAAAATACTCCGGATACATTCAGTAACATGATAAGAATATTCCTGGAAAATGTGGGGTAGGTGCAACATAAGACAAAACAATTCCAAGAGTTATATTGAGAGGACTAACTGGTGTCTCCAAGTGGCCACACCTCTCCAAAGTGAGCACAGTTCCTAAGTCATTTCAATGTACTTTTATGACTCAAAGAAGAGTCTTCAACTATAATGAGCTTTTGTTTTGAGCTCTCCTAGCTGTTCTGTTGAGGAACTAGAGTAAGAACACTGGTAGTTGTTTAGTTTTGAGCTCTCCTAGCTGTTCTGTTGAGGAACTAGAGTAAGAACACTGGTAGTTGTTTTGTTTTGAGCTCTCCTAGCTGTTCCGTTGAGGAACTAGAGTAAGAACACTTGTAGTTGTTTTGTTTGGAACAAAACCCTGCATCCCCGTTATCACACAATTACTGTTGTTGTTCACGCAATCCAAAAACGGTCTGTTATAAATCACAATCTGGGTCAGGTGGGAATCATTTGGAAGCTTGTTCTATTGCCAACATGACTAGCTAAGTTATAAAATACTATCTTACAGTGTTAGCCTTTCACAAAGCTATTCAGGGAAACAGTAATTTTGGTGTCCATAGAAAGGAGTCATGAGTGCATTCTCATGCCACAGCATATTTTCTTCACAATAGACAAACACAGGCTCATTCTGTGTACAGCAGGAGACCCTGTGCTCTGACGTCATGTATAGCATGTTACTGTACAGCCACTGAGCTCTGACGTCATGTATAGCATGTTACTGTCCAGTCACTGAGCTCTGACGTCATGTATAGCATGTTACTGTACAGACCCAGAGCTCTGACGTCATGTATAGCGTGTTACTGTCCAGCCACTGAGCTCTGACGTCATGTATAGCATGTTACTGTACAGCCACTGAGCTCTGACGTCATGTATAGCATGTTACTGTCCAGCCACTGAGCTCTGACGTCATGTATAGCATGTTACTGTCCAGCCACTGAGCTCTGACGTCATGTATAGCATGTTACTGTACAGCCACTGAGCTCTGACGTCATGTATAGCATGTTACTGTCCAGTCACTGAGCTCTGACATCATGTATAGCATGTTACTGTCCAGTCACTGAGCTCTGACGTCATGTATAGCATGTTACTGTCCAGCCACTGAGCTCTGACGTCATGTATAGCATGTTAATGTCCAGAACCAGAGCTCTGACGTCATGTATAGCATGTTACTATACAGCCACTGAGCTCTGACATCATGTATAGCATGTTACTGTCCAGACACTGAGCTCTGACGTCATGTATAGCATGTTACTATACAGACCCAGAGCTCTGACGTCATGTATAGCGTGTTACTGTACAGCCACTGAGCTCTGACGTCATGTATAGCATGTTACTGTCCAGCCACTGAGCTCTGACGTCATGTATAGCATGTTACTGTACAGACACTGAGCTCTGACGTAATGTATAGCATGTTACTGTACAGCCACTGAGCTCTGACGTCATGTATAGCATGTTACTGTACAGCCACTGAGCTCTGACGTCATGTATAGCGTGTTACTGTCCAGCCACTGAGCTCTGACGTCATGTATAGCATGTTACTGTCCAGCCACTGAGCTCTGACGTCATGTATAGCATGTTACTGTCCAGCCACTGAGCTCTGACGTCATGTATAGCATGTTACTGTACAGCCACTGAGCTCTGACGTCATGTATAGCATGTTACTGTCCAGCCACTGAGCTCTGACGTCATGTATAGCATGTTACTGTACAGACCCAGAGCTCTGACGTCATGTATAGCGTGTTACTGTACAGCCACTGAGCTCTGACGTAATGTATAGCGTGTTACTGTCCAGCCACTGAGCTCTGACGTCATGTATAGCATGTTACTGTCCAGCCACTGAGCTCTGACGTCATGTATAGCATGTTACTGTACAGCCACTGAGCTCTGACGTCATGTATAGCATGTTACTGTACAGACCCTGAGCTCTGACGTCATGTATAGCATGTTACTGTCCAGCCACTGAGCTCTGACGTCATGTATAGCATGTTACTGTCCAGCCACTGAGCTCTGACGTCATGTATAGCATGTTACTGTCCAGCCACTGAGCTCTGACGTCATGTATAGCATGTTACTGTACAGCCACTGAGCTCTGACGTCATGTATAGCATGTTACTGTCCAGTCACTGAGCTCTGACGTCATGTATAGCATGTTACTGTACAGCCACTGAGCTCTGACGTCATGTATAGCATGTTACTGTCCAGTCACTGAGCTCTGACGTCATGTATAGCATGTTACTGTCCAGCCACTGAGCTCTGACGTCATGTATAGCATGTTACTGTCCAGCCACTGAGCTCTGACGTCATGTATAGCATGTTACTGTCCAGCCACTGAGCTCTGACGTCATGTATAGCATGTTACTGTCCAGCCACTGAGCTCTGACGTCATGTATAGCATGTTACTGTACAGCCACTGAGCTCTGACGTCATGTATAGCATGTTACTGTACAGCCACTGAGCTCTGACGTCATGTATAGCATGTTACTGTACAGACACTGAGCTCTGACGTCATGTATAGCATGTTACTGTACAGCCACTGAGCTCTGACGTCATGTATAGCATGTTACTGTACAGACACTGAGCTCTGACGTAATGTATAGCATGTTACTGTACAGCCACTGAGCTCTGACGTCATGTATAGCATGTTACTGTACAGCCACTGAGCTCTGACGTCATGTATAGCATGTTACTGTACAGCCACTGAGCTCTGACGTCATGTATAGCATGTTACTGTACAGCCACTGAGCTCTGACGTCATGTATAGCATGTTACTGTCCAGCCACTGAGCTCTGACGTCATGTATAGCATGTTACTGTACAGCCACTGAGCTCTGACGTCATGTATAGCATGTTACTGTCCAGCCACTGAGCTCTGACGTCATGTATAGCGTGTTACTGTCCAGCCACTGAGCTCTGACGTCATGTATAGCGTGTTACTGTCCAGCCACTGAGCTCTGACGTCATGTATAGCATGTTACTGTACAGCCACTGAGCTCTGACGTCATGTATAGCATGTTACTGTCCAGCCACTGAGCTCTGACGTCATGTATAGCATGTTACTGTCCAGCCACTGAGCTCTGACGTCATGTATAGCGTGTTACTGTACAGCCACTGAGCTCTGACGTCATGTATAGCATGTTACTGTCCAGCCACTGAGCTCTGACGACATGTATAGCATGTTACTGTCCAGCCACTGAGCTCTGACGTCATGTATAGCGTGTTACTGTCCAGCCACTGCGTTCCAATTTAGGCGTTTATCAGTGCCCAAATCTGCCATTTCCAACCCGTACACGGGTACGAGCGTAAAGGGCTACGGCATCTCATTTGGAAGGGTATATTATGAAGGGTATCGAAGGGTATATTATGAAGGGTATGTGAAATCAAGGGTTTATTTAGACATCTCGTTGCGAACTACACCGATGTGTCAAGTCAAAGGTGCTTCATTTAGCTACCCATGTAGCGATGCTGCACCAGTGTCATTCTATGTAGCCAGTCTGGGACCAGGCTAATTCTAATGAACCCGGTCTCAATCAGTACATGCAATTTTGTAGTATTTGGATAAAAGTAGGTAGTGTTTGTTGTTTTAATCTAAACTATAACTTCTCTCTTTTTTGTGACCAGTATCTGAAGTTTGGTGAATTTGAAGAGACACTTCATCACTTTGAGAAGGAGTGTAAAAACAAGGGGAAAGTCGTTCCAAAGCCCAGAGGCAACAGTCTTCGGGACTCGAAAACGCTGATTATCCAGGTAAATGGTTGATTTAAAAAGCTGCAGTCTATGGTCATTGCTGGAAATGACAGACATCCGTCATAGAAACCCCAAAATAGTGTACTTAACCACAGAAGTTTTAAAGCCAGAGACATTCCAAAATTCCACGATGAAGATGTACCCAAAAGGAGGGTTCTGTTTATACGGTTACTAACCCACTCCTGTATCTCTGCAGAAGGACCTGTTGAGCTCATTTGACGACGGTGACTTCAAGGTGTTCTTTGAGCTGTGGACAGAGTATGTCCCTTCGGAGGTGAGGGACTGTGACCCTCACGCCCAGAAGCTGGAGTTTTACCTTCATGTTCACTTCACCATCTTCCCTCTGAAAATCCACTTGGGCAGACACGTACGTATGCCTCCCCTTATTCTGAAGTACTGCCGCTAACTGGATCGCTCCGTTGATGTGCAATATATTAAAAAAAATGTGATAGAAGCTACCCAAGTTCTAATTGCGTTTTAGTATTAGTTCCGGAACCAGGTTCAAACAGTGTTTGTTTTCTTTCAAATACTTTGAGCGTTAAATTAAGCCCGATATGGAGTGGAAGATGAGCAGGTTTATTCTTTTGGTTATCAACCTTTTTTTTGGGTTACTGTACCACCTGTGACATTTTGCTTTGCCCGGAGTACCCCTGAAATAACCCCTCATGCGCATTTTACAACTAAGCCTATTGTCTCATGAGTCCTTCTTAAGTACCCCCTGTGGATAGGCAAAGTACCCCCAGGGGTCCTCGTACCCCCGCTTGAGAACCACTGCGCTAGGCAAGCTCGATCGAGCACACATTGAAATATAATAAATACTATTTGAACCCAGGTCTGTTGTATTCAGTTTTCTGTCTGAACATTTAGCCTGTAACTCTGATATAAGAGGTACAGTGTTGCTCTTTTTAGCACAAGCCTGGCCTGTGCACTTTTGCATATCAGCGCCCTCATCTCTGTGGTGAGAAATGACATGCAAAATGTATCAAATCACCATCAGCCAACAGATGGCCTTGTTGCACCGTGCAGCCATTCCAAGCAACAAGCCATTCACACTGGTTGGTAAGGTGAGGTTCTCTTCACCACTCCTTGGTTCCAGTAAACCAAAATGGTGGTCTTATCCAGTGCAATTGTATAACCTATAACCTATAGCAAGTTGTGAAACATAGATAAGATTAGATTAACTTTGTATGATCCCACTAGAGTAAATTCATTTGGTCACATGTTTAAATACAATACAGTACATAAACATTTCAATGCATACAGAGCCTATTTTATTTTATTTTTTATTTCACCTTTATTTAACCAGGTAAGCCAGTTGAGAACAAGTTCTCATTTACAACTGCGACCTGGCCAAGATAAAGCAAAGCAGTGCGATAAAAACAACAACACAGAGTTACAAATGGGGTAAAACAAAACATAAAGTCAAAAATACAACAGAAAATATATATACAGTGTGGGCAAATGTAGCAAGTTATGGAGGTAAGGCAATAAATAGGCTATAGTGCAAAATAATTACAATTAGTATTAACACTGGAATGATAGATGTGCAAGAGATGATGTGCAAATAGAGATACTGGGGTGCAAATGAGCAAAATAAATAACAATATAGGGATGAGGTAGTTGGGTGGGCTAATTTCAGATGGGCTGTGTACAGGTGCAGTGATCGGTAAGGTGCTCTGACAACTGATGCTTAAAGTTAGTGAGGGAGATAAGGGTCTCCAGCTTCAGAGATTTTTGCAATTTGTTCCAGTCATTGGCAGCAGAGAACTGGAAGGAATGGCGGCCAAAGGAGGTGTTGGCTTTGGGAATGACCAGTGAGAAATACCTGCTGGAGCGCATACTACGGGTGGGTGTTGCTATGGTGACCAATGAGCTAAGATAAGGCGGGGATTTGCCTAGCAGTGATTTATAGATGGCCTGGAGCCAGTGGGTTTGGCAACGAATATGTAGTGAGGACCAGCCAACAAGAGCGTACAGGTCACAGTGGTGGGTAGTATATGGGGCTTTGGAGACAAAACGGATGGCACTGTGAAAGACTACATCCAATTTGCTGAGGATAGTGTTGGAGGCTATTTTGTAAATGACATCGCCGAAGTCAAGGATCGGTAGGATAGTCCGTTTTACGAGGGCATGTTTGGCAGCATGAGTGAAGGAGGCTTTGTTGCGAAATAGGAAACCGATTCTAGATTTAACTTTGGATTGGAGATTCTTAATGTGAGTCTGGAAGGAGAGTTTACAGTCTAACCAGACACCTAGGTATTTGTAGTTGTCCACATACTCTAGGTCAGACCCGTCGAGAGTAGTGATTCTAGTCGGGTGGGCGGGTGCCAGCAGCGTTCGATTGAAAAGCATGCATTTAGTTTTACTAGTGTTTAAGAGCAGTTGGAGGCTACTGAAGGAGTGTTGTATGGCGTTGAAGCTCGTTTGGAGGTTTGTTAACACAGTGTCCAATACAGTGCATTGGGAAAGTATTCAGACCCCTTCCCTTTTTCCACATTTTGTTACGTTACAGCCTTATTCTCAAATTGATTAAATATTATTTTTTTCTCATCAATCTACACACAATACTCCATAAAGATAAAAGCGGAAAAAATGTTTTTTTGAAATGTTTGCAAATGTATAAAAAATAAAAAACAGAAATACCTTATTTACATAAGTATTCAGACCCTTTGCTATGAGACTTTCCTTTGATCATCCTTGAGATGTTTCTACAACTTCATTGGAGTCCACCTGTGGTAAATTCAATTGATTGGACATTATTTGGAAAGGCACACACCTGTCTATATAAGGTCCCACAGTTGACAGTGCATGTCAGAGCAAAAACCAAGCCATGAGGTCGAAGGAATTGTCCGTAGAGCTCCGAGACAGGATTGTGTCGAGGTACAGATCTGGGGAAGGGTACCAAAACATTTCTGCAGCATTGAAGGTCCCCAAGAACACAGTGGCCTCCATCATTCTTAAATGGAAGAAGTTTGGAACCACCAAGACTCTTCCTAGAGCTGGCCGCCCGGCCAAACTGAGCAATCGGGGGAGAAGGGCATTGGTCAGGGAGGTGACCAAGAACCCGATGGTCACTCTGACAGAGCTCCAGAGTTCCTCGGGGGAGATGGGAGAAGGACCTCAGACTGGGGTGAAGGTTCACCTTCCAACAGGACAACGACCCTAAGCACACAGACAAGACAATGCAGGAATGGCTTCGGGACAAGTCTCTGAATGTCCTTGAGTGGCCCAGCCAGAGCCTGGACTTGAACCTGATCGAACATCTCTGGAGAGACCTGAAAATAGCTGTGCAGCGACGTTCCCCATCAAACCTGACAGAGCTTGAGAGGATCTGCAGAGAAGACTGGGAGAAACTCCCCAAATACAGGTGTGCCAAGCTTGTAGCGTCATACCCAAGAAGACTTGAGGCTATAATTGCTTCCAAATGTGCTTCAACAAAGTACTGAGTTAAGGGTCTGAATACTTACGTAAATATGATATTTCAGTTTTTTTATTTTTAATACATTTGCAAACATTTCTAAAAAACTGTTTTTGCTTTTTCATTATGGGGTATTGTGTGTAGATTGATGAGGGGAAAAAAAACAATTTAATCTGTTTTAGAATAAGTCTGTAACGTAACAAAATGTGGAAAAAGTCAAGGGGTCTGAATACTTTCAGAATGCACTGTATATAACAAGGAGTACTCCCCTCCCATATCAATACATACAGAGCCTGTATACAACAAGGAGTACTCCCCTCCCATATCAATACATACAGAGCCTGTATACAACAAGGAGTACTCCCCTCCCATACCAATACATACAGAGCCTGTATACAACAAGGAGTACTCCCCTCCCATATCAATACAGACAGAGCCTGTATACAACAAGGAGTACTCCCCTCCCTTATCAATACATACAGAGCCTGTATACAACAAGGAGTACTCCCCTCCCATACCAATACATACAGAGCCTGTATACAACAAGGAGTACTCCCCTCCCATACCAATACATACAGAGCCTGTATACAACAAGGAGTACTCCCCTCCCATACCAATACATACAGAGCCTGTATACAACAAGGGGTACTCCCCTCCCATATCAATACATACAGAGCCTGTATACAACAAGGAGTACTCCCCTCCCATACCAATACATACAGAGCCTGTATAGAACAAGGAGTACTCCCCTCCCTTATCAATACATACAGAGCCTGGATACCACTGCTCCTGAGTGGCGCAGTGGTCTAAGGCACTGCATCGCAGTGCTAACTGTGCCACTAGAGATCCTGGTTCGAATCCAGGCTCTGTCGCAGCCGGCCGCGACCGGGAGACTCATGGGCGGCGCACAATTGGCCCAGCGTCGTCCAGGGTAGGGGAGGGAATGGCCGGCAGGGATGTAGCTCAGTTGATAGAGCATGGCGTTTGCAACGCCAGGGTTGTGGGTTCGATTCCCACGGGGGGCCAGTATAAAAAAATGTATTCACTAACTGTAAGTCGCTCTGGATAAGAGCGTCTGCTAAAATGACTAAAATGTAAATGTAAAATGAGTACTCCCCTCCCATACCAATACATACAGAGCCTGTATACAACAAGGGGTACTCCCCTCCCATATCAATACATACAGAGCCTGTATACAACAAGGAGTACTCCCCTCCCATACCAATACATACAGAGCCTGTATAGAACAAGGAGTACTCCCCTCCCATACCAATACATACAGAGCCTGTATACAACAAGGAGTACTCCCCTCCCATACCAATACATACAGAGCCTGTATACAACAAGGAGTACTCCCCTCCCATACCAATACATACAGAGCCTGTATACAACAAGGAGTACTCCCCTCCCATATCAATACATACAGAGCCTGGATACAACAAGGAGTACTCCCCTCCCATACCAATACATACAGAGCCTGTATACAACAAGGAGTACTCCCCTCCCATATCAATACATACAGAGCCTGTATACAACAAGGAGTACTCCCCTCCCATATCAATACATACAGAGCCTGGATACAACAAGGAGTACTCCCCTCCCATACCAATACATACAGAGCCTGTATACAACAAGGGGTACTCCCCTCCCATATCAATACATACAGAGCCTGTATAGAACAAGGAGTACTCCCCTCCCATACCAATACATACAGAGCCTGTATACAACAAGGGGTACTCCCCTCCCATATCAATACATACAGAGCCTGTATACAACAAGGAGTACTCCCCTCCCATACCAATACATACAGAGCCTGTATAGAACAAGGAGTACTCCCCTCCCATACCAATACATACAGAGCCTGTATACAACAAGGAGTACTCCCCTCCCATACCAATAGTCCAATACTTTTAACAATGTTGTCTCCAGCTGGAGCAGCCCACTACATTGAATGACCAAATAAACTCAATCAACCAATAAACTCAATCAACCAATAAACTCAATCAACCAAATAAACTCAATCAACCAATCAATCATTTAGTTTTGAATGTTTTTCCCTCCCACAGGACCGAGCAGACTTTGAGGTGAGGATCAGCCACTTCAAGCACTATCTGGAGACGCGGGGGGTGGCGCTCAGCCAGACCACTGAGTTCCTACCCTACTATGCCCTCCCCTTCGTGCCCAACCCCATGGTGCACCCTTCCTTCAGAGATCTCTTCCAGGTGCCGCCCTCTCCTCTTTCAACCCCCTCACTCTTACGCCATTGTCCCCTGAACGTACAATACGTGTGATATCAACGCTAGCAGTATGTAACAACCAAAAAAGCAATGCAGGCCAGGACACTGATTGGGCACATGAATGAATGAATGAATGAATGAGTGTGCTGTACTTCACTAACTGCCCATGTTATGTTATGCTACGCTATATTGTTTTCAGGATTCCTGGATGCCAGAGATGAAGCAAGAACTGGAGAAGTTCCTGACTGTGACACTGAAAGTGTCCAACACTCCACGGCTTCTGTCATTATATGTATCCTTTTGACAAGAATGATTGAATGTGCCCCATATTCAGTTAAGCTGAGGTCACATAGGAAACCTTTACTGTTGCTGAAGGACAATCTGATCAGCATAAAATACGTTTACAACATACGTACACAACATCAAATCGTATAATACAACCTATATCCACTAGTGGCACCCTGCCCTTACGGGTGGGAAATCATTGGAAATTAATAATTTGATTCAATGCAATTCCCCCCCTTCAACAAATCAAATATGTGTTTATCTGTTCAGATTTTTGGTCTCAGGATAGGTTACCAAAATTCTCAACTCCGGACGATTAAAAAAAAAAAAAACTCCCATATTTCCATATATATGGTTGCTTTCTAGACCATGACTAAAGTCAGCGAGATGTGCCCGCCCGCTGCTGCTTGTGTCGGTGACTCGACATTGGCATGTTTTGATAAGCCTACCATGAACCCATGTTATCCATATCTATTAAAAACAGTAGCCTACAATTGAAATATAATTATACCTACTATTGGGATCATGATTGCAATGCAATTCCCTCCTGCAAAATCTGTTCAGCTTTTGGTGTCTGGATATATAGCGGTAATATGTTCAACTCCGGAGCGTTAAAAAAAATCTCCCATAGGCTTATTTCCGGTGGGATCATGGCGCATGCTTTCTCTTTTAAAATGCATTGTTTTGATACCATGAAGCTATGTTATCTATATTATTAGAAACAGAAGGCCTGTAGGCTAGGGCTGGTCCTGCATGTCCAAACTAGGAGTGGGAATGTGTATTCACGTTTTCGTGATGTCCCCAAAAATGTTCCACGACACTCGCGAATAAGCCCATACAAAGTTGTACTTTTTTGAAGGATTCATATGATAATTTTAAGCGATAGTTTTTGGGACGAAACTAACGATCCACTTCGACATTGTATTAGTCGGGATTCAGTTCAATTGCAATGAATCGAATCATGTGAATCAAAATAATAATTTGTGACTCAAAATAATAATTTGTGAATCGCCGAACTAGATGTAGCCTTTCTTTTGGATAATGTGGCTTCAAAACTATTTTTTTTAGATACGGTACTTCCAGTTGATTTAGGCATTCAATGTATGGGACATTGCAACTCAATAGATTCTAGTCAGCATGCAAAGTAAACACTTCCAAGGTAGCTAAGATAAATATGACTAAACTAGAAAAGGTACATTTCATGAAGAACATGTGTGGGCTTGCTTCAGCTGAATAAAAAGATGTGTAGCCTGCCATAGCCACTATATTTAATGAGCAAATTATTTCAAAAGGCAAAAAACGAATTTGGTTGTAATGTTGAAATGTTTTACATCATGGGTGGTCAACCATCCTCCAGGAGAGATAATGGGTGCATGCTTTTTTTCCAGATTTTAAATATTATTCATTTCCATGTCGGTTCTATGCCCGGAAAAGCCCTTGTCCGGAGCAAAGGCTCCTAAATGTACATTTTAAGCTAAAATAATGCAAAAAATAAATAAATTTTTATCAACAAGAAAAAATAAAGTTCCCCCACTGGACAAGGATTGTTCCAACATTCAAGAAGCCCTGAAATATGTTGAACATGTTTGCAATCCACATTGTTCTAAGTAGGCTAATTGCATGGCTTCAATATAAAAAAATAATATATTTTTAAACATAGCATTAACCCTGATATAGGCCTACTGTAAAACGATTTATGTCTGATCTAAGCCAAACATGGTCAATAAGCATTCAACAATAAGCATTGTTGTCAATTCACTATTGAAAATACCAAAATCAAATTCTAATAAAATGAAACAACAACTTGTTTTAAATAAGCTATGTCTAAATACAGTTACAGACACCATAATTGCTCCCTGTGGGCAGATAATATTAGGCCTAAGACAACGTAGACTATGGAGGATTTTACGCACATCCACAGTTTTCACAGGAGCTGGAAAAAGATCCAATATAAAGAGAATGGGGGAATGTCCACTCAGCGTTGTACTGCTCCGAAGTGTAATGTTTTATAAACATAATGGTACCGTCTTTTTTACAGAATCATATTCTTACTTCTCCAAACGTAGCAGACGGCTTCTAAATTGCATTGCTGCAAGCCACGTGTTCTCACCATCAAGCCACGGACAGTGAATCATTCTAATGAGTACATTTTTTTTCTTTCTTTTTATTAAACTAAAAACAAGAAATTCCTTTTAACTTTTTTTTTTTAAACAACAACAATATTTCTAAATAGGATGGGTTCAGAATCATGACATCATAAATCACATGTGTCGTTCCATGAGCAGACACACTAGGGCTCTTAGGCAGGAGTAGCCTATAATTTCTATCCTATCCATTGAAGATAGTTTATTAAATAGTAGCTTAGGCCTAGTTATAAACAAACATGCAGCCTATCTAGTGTTCTACATTAAATAAGTAATTGGCTTCAACCTGGAAATAGCATTGCATGTTCGAGCCACTTAGCCTACCATCCAAACTTTACACAGGACTGGAAAAACATCCAGTATGAAGAGAAAAGGGGGAATGTCCACTCACCGTTGTACTGCTCCCAGACATACAGTGGGGAGAACAAGTATTTGATACACTGCCGATTTTGCAGGTTTTCCTACTTACAAAGCATGTAGAGGTCTGTAATTTTTATCATAGGTACACTTCAACTGTGAGAGACGGAATCTAAAACAAAAATCCAGAAAATCACATTTGTATGATTTTTAAGTAATTAATTTGCATTTTATTGCATGACATGAGTATTTGATACATCAGAAAAGCAGAACTTTAATATTTGGTACAGAAACCTTTGTTTGCAATTACAGAGATCATACGTTTCCTGTAGGTCTTGACCAGGTTTGCACACACTGCAGTAGGGATTTTGGCCCACTCCTCCATACAGACCTTCTCCAGATCCTTCAGGTTTCGGGGCTGTCGCTGGGCAATACGGACTTTCAGCTCCCTCCAAAGATTTTCTATTGGGTTCAGGTCTGGAGACTGGCTAGGCCACTCCAGAACCTTGAGATGCTTCTTACGGAGCCACTCCTTAGTTGCCCTGGCTGTGTGTTTCGGGTCGTTGTCATGCTGGAAGACCCAGCCACGACCCATCTTCAATGCTCTTACTGAGGAAGGAGGTTGTTGGCCAAGATCTCGCGATACAATGCCCCATCCATCCTCCCCTCAATACGGTGCAGTCGTCCTGTCCCCTTTGCAGAAAAGCATCCCCAAAGAATGATGTTTCCACCTCCATGCTTCACGGTTGGGATGGTGTTCTTGGGGTTGTACTCATCCTTCTTCTTCCTCCAAACACGGCGAGTGGAGTTTAGACCAAAAAGCTCTATTTTTGTCTCATCAGACCACATGACCTTCTACCATTCCTCCTCTGGATCATCCAGATGGTCATTGGCTAACTTCAGACGGGCCTGGACATGCGCTGGCTTGAGCAGGGGGACCTTGCGTGCGCTGCAGGATTTTAATCCATGACGGCGTAGTGTGTTACTAATGGTTTTCTTTGAGACTGTGGTCCCAGCTCTCTTCAGGTCATTGACCAGGTCCTGCTGTGTAGTTCTGGGCTGATCCCTCACCTTCCTCATGATCATTGATGCCCCACGAGGTGAGATCTTGCATGGAGCCCCAGGCCGAGGATGATCATTTTCTAATAATTGCACCAACAGTTGTTGCCTTCTCACCAAGCTGCTTGCCTATTGTCTTGTAGCCCATCCCAGCCTTGTGCAGGTCTACAATTTTATCCCTGATGTCCTTACACAGCTCTCTGGTCTTGGCCATTGTGGAGAGGTTGGAGTCTGTTTGATTGAGTGTGTGGACAGGTGTCTTTTATACAGGTAACGAGTTCAAACAGGTGCAGTTAATACAGGTAATGAGTGGACAACAGGAGGGCTTCTTAAAGAAAAACTAACAGGTCTGTGAGAGCCGGAATCTTACTGGTTGGTAGGTGATCAAATACTTATTTCATGCAATAAAATGTAAATGAATTACTTAAAAATCATACAATGTTATTTTCTGGATTTTTTTTTTCTCCATCTCTCACAGTTGAAGTGTACCTATCATACAAATTACTGACCTCTACATGTTTTGTAAGTAGGAAAACCTGCAAAATCGGCAGTGTATCAAATACTTGTTCTCCCCACTGTATACAGCTATAGCCCACCATGGCTGTTGATATGGCCGTTAGTGACTTTGCAACGTGAAAGGTAAACAAACAAACAGGCAAATAAACAGTGCATTCTGAAAGTATTCAGACCCCTTGACTTTTCCCATGATTTGTTACATTACAGCCTTATTCTAAAATTGATTAAATAGTTTTTTTCCCCCTCATCAATCTACACACAATACCCCATAATGACAAAGCAAAAACAGGTTTTTAGAAATTGTTACAAATGTATTCAAATAAAAAACGGAACTATCACATTTACATAAGAATTCAGACACTTTACTCAATACTATGTTGTATCTTTTTGGGTATGACTCTACAAGCTTGGCACACCTGTATTTGGGAAGTTTCTCCCATTCTTCTCTGCAGATCCTCTCAAGCTTTGTCAGGTTGGATGGGGAGCGTCGCTGCACAGCAATTTTCAGGTCTCTCCAGAGATGTTTGATCGGGTTCAAGTCCGGGCTCTGGCTGGGCCACTCAAGGACATTCAGAGACTTGTCCCGAAGCCATTTCTGCATTGTCTTGTCTGTGTGCTTAGGGTCGTTGTCCCGTTGGAAGGTGAACCTTCGCCCCAGTCTGAGGTCCTGAGCACTCTGGAGCAGGTTTTCATCAATGATCTCTCTGTACTTTGCTCTGTTCATCTTTCCCTCGATGCTGACTAGTCTCCCAGTCCCTGCATCTGAAAAACATCCCCACAGCATGATGCTGCCACCACCATGCTTCACCGTAGGGATGGTGCCAGGTTTCCTCCAGACGTGACGCTTGGCATTCAGGCCAAAGAGTTTAATCTTGGTTTCATCAGACCAGAGAATCTTGTTTCTCATGGTCTGAGAGTCCTTTAGGTGCCTTTTGGCAAACTC